CAAAAAAACGTTCCAAAAATCTCAGACTTTCCCAAATGTAGGAAAATTGAGAAATAATTATTTAATTATTTTTAATTTTTTTAGCGATCAAGTTCCTCTTTTGCCAAATGATGTCCATACAGAAGTGAATGTGGAAGATGTTGAGTCTTCTAATTTTACAAAATTTGGAAGATCGTTTAGGAAATTTAGGTAATTCTATTTTTTAAATTTAATTTAGAATTAATTTCCAATTTTAGTGTTACAAATCTTGTTGGGGTAATTTGCCTTGTTATACTTGTAATCTCAAATTTTGTATTTGCTTTGCTTTATTTCTCTGCAATAAATGATGTAAATTTTTAATTTAAAAGTTTTGATTTTTACAAATTTTTGCGATTAGAATATCTCGTTAGAAGGGTCTCTATCTTTTCTCCTTCGATGTTACTCAATTTACAAAAACTTTTTTTACCGTTCAGATTTTTATTCCTCCCTCAGCTTCTATTTTCTCTCAAAAATCATCAAATAATTATTTTAATTTTCTTTTAGAATTCTTCACGTTTGCCAGAATGGCCAGATCCTTCAAACAGCCTTTTAGGTGAATATTCTTCTGCTTCTGTTGCCGCCGACAATGAACTTTGTTCAACTATTGGAAGGTTTTTATATTTTTATTTTTTGTTCAAAAAATTTTATTTTAAGAGATATTTTATTGCAAGGAGGTAATGCTGTAGATGCAGCTATTTCTGTTGTTATTTGTCTTGGAGTATTAAATGCTCAATCCTCGGGACTTGGTGGAGGCCATTTTATGACCGTTTTTAATGCGTAATTCATTATTTTTTTTCTGAAAATTGATAAAAGGTTTTTAAATGGGGGGGATGTGCATTTTAAAATTAAAAAACACAAAATTCCTTTTATTTTTACAGTACAACTAAAAAATGCAGTGTAGTTGATGCTAGAGAAGTTGCTCCTTCAGCTGCTACAGAAAATATGTTTAAAGAACGTTGGAATGCTTCAAGATATGGTAAATTAATTTTTTGTTTTTTTTTAAATATTTTTTAGGTTGGGAAGCTGTTGCAGTCCCAGGAGAACTTTACGGTCTTTGGATTGAATACAAAAATTTTGGTGGAAATGTTCCTTGGCATTCTTTAATAAAACCAACAATTGATCTCATGGAAGAAGGTAATTTTGTAAAAAAAGATTTTCATTATTTTTAAAATCTTCAAAAAACGGTCAACTAAACTATATTTTTTTAATTTAGAAAAAGTCGAGGAACAATCTTTTTAACAATCCTTTCATTTTTTATTTAAATTTCTTCTATTTTTCAGGTTATCCAACATCTCATGCTTTTGCTTATGCTTTAAAATCTCATGAAAAACAAATTAGAAATGATACAATTTTAAGCAAACATTTTATTAATCCAAAAACGGGGAAATTATACAAATTAGGTGAACAAATAACTACGAGGTTTTTTAAATTAATTTTTAAAAACAAAAAAATAATTTAGAAAAAATTTAATTGATACGTTAAAGAAACTTGCAAATTCTAATGATCCAGTTGAGGTATTTTATAGAAGTAATCTTACAAAGGCTATGGTTGAGGAATTTAAAAAACACGGTTTTTAATTATTTTTTGAGGAATTTTATTAAAAAATAAGTGGGATAACTTGGATTCCGAATATTTTAACCGAATTTTTTATTTTTATTTGGAATGTTTCCACTGACCTTTATACATGATAAATTTTCAAAAAGAAATTTCATTCAAACTAAAAAAATATTTTGAATTCTCATTGAAATTTTTTTAATTTTTTTAAAGGTGGAATAATTACTCTTGAGGATTTTGTTAATTATCGTGCAATTTTGCGTCCAGATTCACAAATTGTTTATACAAAATTATCAAATGGAAAAATAATTTGTGGGCCTCCCCCGCCTTCAGGTTCAGCAGTAACTCAATCAATTCTTTCAATTTTAGACCAGTAAATATTTTTTAAAAATAAAAAAAAATATTTTTATTTTTTTATAATTCATTTTAATACGAGTACTTTTGGCGGAAATGTTGATTTTTTACATCGTTTTATTGAAGCTTCTAAATTTGCTTATGCGGCTAGAAGTGACATAGGGGATATTAATTTTGTTAAAAATGCTTCTGAAATTGTTAAAAATATTACGAGTTCTGAATGGGCACAATTAGTTAGGTAATTGAATATTAAATATTTAAAAATAATTTAAAAAATTTTTGTTTAAAGATCAAAAATAAGTTGGGGAACACATCCAGATTCTTTTTATGGTGGTAGTTTTCAAGCACTTCCAGAAGACCACGGAACTACACATATTAGTGTTATTGATAAATATGGAAATGCTGTTAGTGTTACTTCTACAATTAATTTAATGTAATAAATTTTTTTAAAATATTTTGGTGACAAAATTAAAAAGTTTCAAAAGTTTATTTTTGTTGTAAATTACACATTAGAGATCGAGATTTTTAAAAAGCCTGGGCCTGTAATCCAGGAAAAACTTTGGCCTTGGTCTAGGCCCAGCTCGATCTCTATTATCCCTCCTTTCAATTTTTTGAAAATATTTCTTTTTTTTATTAAAATAATTACTAATTATTTATATAAAGTCTTGGAGCCCAAGTAATGAGTGAAAGTTCAGGAATTATTTGGAATGACCAAATGGATGATTTTTCTTCTCCTGGGCATCCAAATTATTTTGGAATTCCGCCGTCACCTTCAAATTTTATTAAACCTGGAAAAAGGCCAATGAGTTCAATGAGTCCTTTAATTATTTTTAATAAAAATGTAAGGAAAAAAAGGAATTTTTTTTTGTAATTATAAAAAATTAATTTTTTTAAAAGGATAATTCTGTTATTTCTATTGGGGCTGCTGGAGGTTCTACGGTTTTTGAATATTTTTAAACTTTTTTTTAAATTTATATAAAGATAATTTCTGGAGTTGCCGGTGCTGCATTTCATGCTCTTTGGTTGGACAGGAATATTAAACAAGCAATTGGTAAACAAAGTTTTAAAATTATTTTTAATAGATGGGGGGGGGGGACTTTAAAATAAATAGAAAATGATTAAATTTTTTAATTTATGAAAATTTCAATATTTCCTCTCAAAACAGATTCAGTTATGGATTTGTTTAGCGAATCTTACATCAGCCCTGTTAGGATGGGGGGTCAGCCCCCCTCTTTTTTCTAAAAATTTTTTAATTTAAAGACTTTCCTCGATTTCATAACCAACTTCGACCAAACTTTACTCAATTCGAAATTACTATGCCCAATCGTTATATAAATGCACTTAAAGAACGTGGACATACATTTAAAAGTGAAAAGAAAATAACTGTTGTTGTAAGCATTTTCTTTTAATTTAATTTAAAAATTAATTTAAAAAAAAATAAAAAGACTGCTGTACAAAGAATGTCTAATGGAACTATTTTTGCTAATAGTGATTGGAGAAAAGGACCAGAAAGTGAACCTTCTGGTTATTAAAGAAGAATATTTTGAAATAGATTTTTAATTTAAATTTTTCTTTTAATCTTTTCAAATTTTAATTCCACTTTTTTTTGTAATTTTTCAGTTTATATTTTTTTCAAAAAAAATTTTTGTTGTCAAATAAATAAATAATTATTTTACCTATAAAATTAATAAGAATTTTCTAGAGGTTCAAATCGAATTTCGACTTTTTCAAAATTATCCAGTGTGTTTGTGGAAATGTTTTGATTTGATATTTTTAAAAAAATATTTAGAGAATAACTTTTCCTTTCTGCGTGCATTTTAACCGGAAGTGACTTTTCTCTTACAAATAATTTTTAGTTTTGACGTCACAAAAATAATTTTATTTGCTTTCTTATTTTTTTTGTTTGTATTTTATTTGTTTTTCAATTAGTGTATAGGGGCAATAAGAAAAACTTTTGTTTGCAATTTTAAAGTGTTCATTCAGATTGCGATTTTTTTTTTAATTTTTTGATCAATTATTTTATTTAGTTTTTTAAGAAAAATATTATATTTTTAATAAACATTTTGTGAGAATTTTAAAAAATTCGAAAGACGTACTTTTAACTTTAACAGTATTTTTAATAGAAAAAGTTAAAAAAAAGTCTAGACTAAAATTTATTAAAAGTTCAAAAAATCCACAGATCTTTTATTCTTTTAACCTTTTTAAAAATATTTTTACAATTAAAAATTCTTCCAAAGTTCATTTCAAAAAATAAATGAAATTTAATCTTTTTCTTTGAAAATTCTTTTACCTTTTATTTAATTTCCTAAAAATTAAAAAAAACAAAAGTATCACAAGTCTACCTAAAAAATAATAAACAAAGAATGATACAAAGAAGAATAAAAGGACCAACAACATTAACACTTTCATTTACAATTGAATCAGGCTGGAGAATATTTTTAAAAAAGAAATTTATTTTTAGTTTTTTTAAATTAAAATAAACTTCCGTTTTTTAAGCAAGAGGAAGTGGGCCTAAAATTTTATCTTCATCATTAAATACCTCAAATCAACAAAATCGAAAGAGAACACTTAATAAATATTTAGAAAAAACAAATTCAATAGATTTTAGTAAAAGTATTATGGCTTCTACTAGAGTTGATTTGGCACCCAGACATTTCTCTTCAGGCACAAAAATATTAAAAATATATTTTTTTATTTAAATTTTTAGCTCAAAATGTACAACGAGCAGTTCAAAAAATGCGTGAAAAAGAGCAAAAAGCAATTAATGACCAAATAAATGATGTTTATTCAAAAAATTATATTCCAAAAAAATATTCAAAAAATTCTTTAGAATATGGAAAACCGGTAGAAATTTTAAATAAAAATAAATAAAAAATAATTTTTTAAAAGCCTCCCGGTTCATTAACAGGTAAATTATTGAAAGAATTATTTTTTAAAATTACAAAAAAATATTTTAAATTTAAATTTTATATTTTCAATAGAAATGAGAGCAAAAAAAGCTGGTAAAAATTTAATAATAATTATTATAATTTTCCACCAAATTTCTTTTAAAAGCAAAACATATTGCTAAAGAAATGTTACAACTTTGTGAAATAATTGAAGAATATGGAAATAAAATAAAAGGAGAAAATGGAATTAATTATAAAATAATTACTTTTGGTTATTTATTTAATATTTATGAATATATTTCTGATAAGGTTTTTTTGAAAGAAAAAAATTAAATTTAAAATTAAATTAAAAAAGGTTGTTGGAATTTTACTTCGAGCAAGAAAACATAAAATGGTTGATTTTGAAGGGGAAATGCTTTTTCAAAGAAGAGATGAAAATAAAATTATTAAATTACTTTTAAGTCGTGAAAATATTGAAAAATATTTAAAAGAATTGGAAATTAATTAATTAAAAGAAAAAAAATTAAATATTTATTTTGAAAATTATATTTTTAATCAAAAAAATTCTCTCAGAATTTTTTTTGTAAAATAATTGCCTATTTTAAAAATATCCAAAAAAGTCTATATATCTAATTATTTAATCTACACAAATATTTACAATAACAAAAAATAATTACCTATATAAAAACTTTTTTTCAAATATTTATTTTCTTCTCCATCAATTTAAAATTCCTCATAATTATTTTCTCCATTAAATTTTCCAATAACAAAAGACGTCAAAAAATACATAAAAGCACCAATAGTAAGTGGAATTGGAAGTGCTGGTAAATAACCGGGTTCATCATCATTGTCAGATTCCTCAGATAAAGTTAAAGTATAAAATAAACTTTAAAAGAAAAGAAAAATTATTTTTTAAATTTAATTATTTACCCAAATAAAACACCAATAATTGTAAATAAAACAGCAAAGTTAAAACAACCATCCATTTCTGCTGCTGCCTTTCCAACCAATAAACCATAAATAACAAAATCACCCATACCAATAACTGTTTGACCTTAAAGATTTTTTAATAGAAAAATTGGGGCAGGAACGAGATATATTTAAATATAGTAGAGGGAGGTATTAAAAACTTTTCTAAAAATCCACAAAATTAAAAACATTTCCATCACCCAATCCCTCCCTTCAATTATTATTAAAATATATCTTTTCAATTAAAACTAACCAGAAACATTTAAAGCATCAAAGGCTGTTCTCTCCACATTATTTTCTTCTTCAATAGAATCTTCAATTTCATCATTAGTAAAAGTACTATTTAAAGTAAATTCAGTCATACAATCATCAGAACAATTTTCTTCTTCTTCTTCATTTATTGTTGTATTATCATCAGAAAAAGTATCAGAAGTAGAATTATTTGAAGTATTATTTTCAGAATTTTCATCAGAACTTTCCTCCTCCTCCTCTTCTTTATTTTTATTATTTTTTGCTATGAAAAACATAAACGGAAGAATTCTTTCACTATAATCATGAGCATTTAATGCAGCTACTTTTAATGGTCCAAATGATGAATTTACAGAGAATAAATCTTTAAAAATATTTTTTTTAATTAAAGATTAATATTTTAAATTTGAAGACTATTCTCTTATGTCCGAACATTTTTCGGATCTGGATCCGTCCCAGGATAGATTCATAAAAATAAAATTGACCATCTTGAGTACAAATTTTTTAAAGTAATTATTTTAAAAATTCTTTAAATATTTACCCCAAAGAATAATTGCAGCCATCAAGAACCAAATTGTATAACGCGGAAGAAATCTCAAATAATAAATAGAAACACAAGAACAATTCAAGATGGTAAGAGTCTGACGAATAAAAGTTGGTAAACGATCGGTAAAATAGGCCTAAACAAATTTAAAAAAATTTTTATTTGAAAATTAAAAAAACATACGGCAACAATTGTAGAAGTGAATAGAAGAGAAGCAATAATTGTGAATAAATAAATATAAGGATTTTCAGGGCCAAGAAATTTCAGTAAAGTATCACTTTAAAAATATAAATTTATTTAAATTAAAAATATTTTGTCTTTTGAAAAGTAACAAAATATAGCTGAAGATTGTTTAATTTTATTTACTAAAAATTTTCTAGTCCTTGTATTGTAAATGAGCTAAAAGTTAGTTGAGAGAAATGTGATGGATTTTTTTATTTTTATGAATACCCAATGGCTCAATTTTGTTGGCGGGAGAAAAAAACCTTTTTTAATATATAAAAATCAAAATAATTTTCTTACAAAATAATAGTTGCAGGCATAATATAAGACATCATCATAAATGTAGATTTAACAAATAAAACAACACAAGACTTTAATCGATGTAAAATACACTGACCCAAAATAACACTCATTACAGCGATAATTGTTGCAATAAAAAGTCCATTCAACTTTTAAAGAAAAAAATTTTAAATTAAAAAAAAATTAAATTATACAATTCCATCAAGCAAATTATTCCCTGTAGTAGATAAACCATCAACATCTAGCATTGGAAATTGAGAATAAACCATATTCTTCATCTCATAAACATAACACCAAATAGAAAGCTTGGAAAAACAATTAAATTTTAAATTAATCAGAAAATAAAAACTCACAGTAACCAACATATTGAGAAAAACAAAGCCACAAACAACAAGAACACCTCTGTCTAAAGCCATTTTTAATATTTGTTTAATATCTAAAATTAAAAAAACATATTTTTACATATATTTGTAAAACCATAAATATTCAAAACAAATAAAAATTGTCTTGTAAAATATAAAAAAATATTATTTATTTACAAAGAATTTTTTATGAAAATTAAATTATATACATATCAAGGAAAAAATTAGATAAAATATTGGACAAAATATTTAGGGAAAATAGGTAAGTTTTTAAAACACATACATAGGTAACTACAATTATTTTCTAAATTAGTAATAGAAGCTTGTACTTTCTCTACTTTCACGTATTAGATATTGGGTCATTGCCCTGTAATGAACAAAAGCACCAGAATTAACAAACAAATGCCAAATCGCATGTGAGAACGGCAGATAACCTTCGGCAAAGTAGAAAATAAGTCCAACAATATATAGGGCACCACCAGCTGCAAGAGGAAGTAGACCACCAGTGTCAGTCTAAAAATAAATAGAAGAAATTCTCCTCTAAAAAGAATATTTTTTCTTACAGTAAAAGCGCCAATAAAAGTTCCAGGCAAAACTCCCAAGATTAAATACATTGTTATCGCTAGAATTTCATTATCAGCAGTCATCTTGAACGGCAAATTTTGGGCTAAAATGCTGAAAATTGCGAAGATCCAAACCTGAATATTTTTTTGTTTAAAAAAGGAAAAACAAATTTACCGCCTTGCAAATATCTTCAGCAAAAGGCCCATTATCACGCAATAAAAGCCAAGGTGTATAGCAAGAAGCAATAAACAAATGGATCATTGAACGATCAGCCATTCGAAGAAGGACACGCATGTACCTTAAAATTTAAAATATTTTTTAAACTTTTGATGAAATTATTTACTTGTAACCTTCCCCGGTTGGATATATCCGAACAAGTAGACAAATGAAGTGATAAACGGCCGAAACAGCAAACAATGAAAGCATCATTCCACCATATAGAGCTAGAACAAAAAATTCTCTTGCAGTATTTGTGCGCAATTGAAGTTCCAGAAAAGCGAAGACAACAGCAGGAATTGAGACCTTTAAATAAAGAAGCTTTAAAATTCTTTATAATAAACTCACTGCATGCGTAACAATGTTTGCAACATCTTCAGCAATTGCCAAACAACCAGAACCTCTAGTCGCTGGAGAATATGCAGCAATACATTCAGCAGTTGCCACGGCCTTCGCACGTCTTCGCCTTGCAGAACTCTCTGCAAAAAAAAAACAAATTAGGTATTTTGAGATAAAACATTTCACACCTGACATTGAACGTAGAAAAGCAAAGACGCTTCTCAAAAAATGGGGTCTTGAATAAGACGGGTCTTGAAAACGGAACTTTAGAATAACTTGGCAGCTTGTTCCATATTACTTTCAATATAAACTTTTATAGTACGAAATGAATGAAATTTTGAAATTTCCGATAAAATTAAAGTTTGGCGTTCTGTTTTTAAAATTTCCTATAAAAAATTTTTTTTTCTACACGTTTGTAAGATTAACGTGTTAATTTTTTTCAATTATCAAGTCCTTAAATTTCTTTCTACATATATTTTTTAGAATTAAAAATGCATAAAATTCAACAATTATTAAATATCCAAATGTATTTCTTTAGTCTTTTTTTGTTCCTCTTCACTATATTACTTTCAAATGCTTCAGAATTAACTTTTGAGCTTCCAGACAACGCTGATCAATGCTTTTTTGAGGATTTAAAGAAAGGAATTGATAATGTTTTGGAATTTCAGGTTATTTAAAAATTTACTTATTAATCATATTTTTGTGTTTTTAAGGTTGTTACAGGCGGACAATACGATGTAGATGTTGTTTTGGAAGATCCGAATGGAAATGTTCTTTATAAAGAAATGAGAAAGCAACTTGATAGTTATTCTTATAAAGTAGAAATAAGTTTTAAAATTTTGATTAAAAAAAGAATTTTTAGACAGATGCTGATGGGACTTATAAAGTGTGCTTTTCTAATGAATTTTCTACTTTTTCTCACAAGGTTTTTTTAATATTTTTATTAAATTTTAAATTATTTTTTAAGGTTATCTATATGGATTGGCAAGTTGGTGAACCCGAATTTAGAGGAATGCCTGTACCTCGTGTTGGCTCTAGTATGACACAAATGGATAGAAGCGTTGGAACTATAGCAGATCGTTTAAGGTTTTTAATTTAATTCTCGAGTTTCTCATTTTACTTTTTCAAAATGATGTTTATATTTCGATCTGTACCCTCCCTGCTGTTTTCTCATGGAGTTTTTAGATTTGGCCTAGGTTTTTATTTTTTGGCCATAAAAGTCAAAAAACCAAATTTTTATAAAGAAAATTAAGAATAAATTATCTCGATTAATTTTAGGATTGTGGACGATTACCAAACACATCATCGTTTACGTGAAGCAACTGGAAGAAAACGGGCAGAGGATTTGAGTGAACGTGTTACTTATTGGTCACTTGGTCAAACAGCAGTTATTGTTCTTATTGGTGTTGGACAGGTGTTTAAATCAATATATTTTTGAAAATATTTTTTTATTTTTTAAAAGGTTCTCATTTTGAGGTCATTTTTCTCTGACAGAAAAGCCGGTGGTATTTAGAAAATGTGTTAAATTTTATTTAAATAAAATTATTTGATACGTAAATAATATATTTATTTTAATGTAAACTTAAAAATTCTGTTCAAAACTTTATAAAAAAATTTTTTTAATTTTATCCTTTTCTACGCATAATTTGCTAAAATTAACAATTAAAGTTTGGGGAAACAGAGAAGCTATTAATTACTAAATATCATTATTGGTATTCAAAAAGGAAAAGTTTCACAGTTGTGGAAAATTATAATTTAAGTATATAATTAACAATATATAACTTATGTTTTAAAGGGATATTTTGGTAATATTGAAGCGGACAGATCCCGGATTATTTAATTTTATACTACAAGTGCAAAATATAGGGGAAAAATTGGAGAAGAAAAAAGGGAGGTCTGTCCGCTTCAATATTACCGATATTTTTGGTTAATATCTTAAGGTTTCAAATCTGGAAATTCTAACGATTTTTTATATTGTTCAAAACGTAAAATATTTTTATCGTTTGCTCTCAACAATTCTTGAATGTTGTCTACAAGTGTTTTTCGACGTTCACGATTGCGTTGATTTTGTTCTTCAACAGAATTATCTGTGTAAATATTTAAAGCATCAATTGCTTCTAAATGTTGAAGTGAATGTTCAGTAAATTCTTTTAAACGTTTTTCCATTCGGCGAAGCATTTCATTAAGCATTTCTCCTTAAAATAAATTTTCTTTTAATTTTTAAAAACCACAAAAAAACCTTTAAGAAAATTTCTTTCCATTTCAGACAAATCTTCATCAATTTCTTTAAAAATTCCATTAAGTTTAGTTAAATGAGTTTTTTCATATTTTATCAAAATTTCCTTTCCCTCATCAATTTTTGAACTTCCACCAATAACCAATATTTTATCATTTTCATTAAATCCCAAATTTTCTAAAGATTCTTCCATTGGGGCAATTATAAATTTACCTTTAGAAAATATTTACATAAAAAAGAAAGGAGGAAAATAAACCTTTTCTAATTAATTTCATTGTTGTTATGTCACATTGAGTTTTTTGTGAAATTTGTTTTCGAAGTTCACCCAATGTTGAAGGTAAAGATTCACTTGATTCTCCTTCTTCTATTTCTTCATTTCCTTCATTATTGTTTCCAACTTTAATTTGTATTTTAAATTCTGTTGTATTGTGTTTAAAAATTAGAAACATTTTCTGTTTAATTTTTTGACAGAATTGTAAAAATGTGTTTGTAAAAAGTGTTTTGAATAATTGCTAAAATAAATATTTTTTGGCATTCTGATTTTTCTTTTTTTTCTGGGTAGGGGACGATTCAGTATCGCCGATTCAGTATCGCCAATTCAGTATAGCCGATTCAGTATTGGCCGATTCAGTATTTGGGCTTTTTGGCCATAACTTTTTGCTCGATCAATATTGTAGAAATTATTATATATGATTTGATAGGCCTCGGGGTGCTGCATCTTTTTCATAATTGGACTGACCTGATCTGATCACTTTACAAAAAGTTATCACTGATAAACGACGTCACAGGCTTAAAAAATCGGTTTTCACGCTGTAACTTTTTTTGAGATCATCAGATCAGATCGGGCCAATTATGAAAAAGATGTCGAATCTCGAGACATTTCGAATGATATGAGAATTATTCAAATCGGTCGGATATCAGAAAAGTTATGGCCATATACTGAATCGGCGATACTGAATCGTCCTTAACCGTTTTTTTCTAACTTTCTTTTTCTCTAATTTTTGAAAGGCTCTAAATTTTTATTTTTTCTTAAATTGTTTTTAAATTAAAATTAAATTTTTTTTAATTTTTTTCTTTCTTGTTTATGTTCATCAATTATTTTACAGTTATTGAAAAAATAATGGAAGATCCTACTTTGGCATATGAAGGTTTTAAATTAAATTTTTAAAATGTTTTTAATTTTAGACATGCTTTTCTTTGAACATCGTTTAACTGAAGTTATTGCTGGAATGCAACCAAGAGTTCGAAAATGGAAAGGTTTGAAGTTTTCGGGAGTTTTTTAAGAATTAAATTATTTTTTAAATTAATTTGGGAATAATTTAAATAGATTTTCCTTTGGCTTTTATTAATTTTTGCAGAAAATATTTATTTTTCTGAACAATTCTAACTAATTTTTCTTATTTTTGACTTATTAATTATTTTAATTTTTTTTAGCTTTTCTTCTGATTTTATTTGTCTCCACAACTTTTAGTGCATATTATTGGATATTAGACCCTTCATTAAAATCTGTAAATTTTTTTCTTTATTTTTTAATTTTAATTTTTTAGATTTCATTTTTCGAATCACTTGCTCTACATCCACTTTTCACTATAAGCATTTCACTTTTATTAATTTTATTTATTGTTTTTGGTGTTCATAAACGGGTTGTTGCTCCACGAATGTTTATTTTTTTATTTTTTATATTTTTTTTAAATTAATTTTTAGAATTGCAAATAGATGTAGCACTGTTTTGAGTGATTTTTGTTTGAGTTGTGATGAGGTTAGAAAATTATTTTTAATATTTTGGGAATTAGAATTCATTTAAAAATTTTTTACTCTTTTTTGATTTTCTGAGCATCGAAAAAATTTTTTTAATTCTCAAAATATTCTTATCTAACAGTAGTTAACCTACTATACGTCAAGGAAATTGATAAAAATAAATATTTTGGGGATTTTTTTCCAAACTGAATTTAATTTAAACTTTTCGAAAAGTGAAGGTCCCCCTCCTTTACAGTGCCAATACTATTTTGTCCAAGCTTTCCTTAGACATCTAAAAATTTTTTTTAATTTAAGCAAGGCAAATTAATTGTTCGTCCAGCTTATTCCCCAGCTATATCACCAATGATTTCAAAACAATCACCAACAAGAATATCAACAACAACAATGCCCTCTCCTCCTTCCTCTCCTCATTCTCCTTCCTCCTCTTCTCCAATTTCAAATTTAAATGACGAAAATGAAAAAAATAATTTATTATTAAATAATTCTTTAAATGAAAGAAAAACAAAAAAAGAGGAAGGAAAAGAAAATAATATTTTTAATTTGGATTTTACAGATAAAAATTTAATTCAAACATTTTAGAATTAAGAAAAGTTTTTTTTTGTTTTAGAAAATAAATTTTTTAAAGAAATTATTAAATTATTTATTTTTTTTTAATAAAAAATTATCACAGGTTTTTTTCAATCAATAAATTAAAAAAATATTAATTAATTAAAATTAAAGTGTTTATCCCTTGAAGGGGACAGACATTTGGAGGAAGGAGGGGAACAACGATATTTTAAGAAAATATCGAGAGAAGAAATAAAGAATCTCGAATTATTTGAGAGAACTCTCCCTCTCTCTTCTTGTGTTCAAGTGTTTGGCGATTTAATAAATAGGTCAGGGTTGTTAAAACTTTTTATTTTATTATTTGAAAATAGTCTTTGTTTGGTTGTTTTTAAATTTATATGACTTTTTTTTACAAATTAAAATGACAGGCAATATTTAAGTGATTGTTATTTTGTTGTTAATGTAGGACGGAAGAAAAACAACTTAACCGGGGGCCCACCTTTTATTTTAATTAGATTTACTTTGAGAGCAATATTTTTGAATTAATTGTTTTATGAGTAATGTAAAAACAATTTCTACTAATTTTTCTTGATTAGACACAATTTTTTTCTATTTTCAATTAATCCCCAAAAGATTATTTTTGTATTCCTTTATTAACAATAAATTAATAATTTTAAAAGATGATTAATAAATTTAAGAAAAGGAGAAAGAAGACTTCTCTCTTTTCTTTTATTAACTTTTACATATGATTCACATTCAAGTAAAAGTTTTTGTGTATTTGATTTATTATTTGTTCACCAAATTTTCTCATGTTTATGTAAATACTCTTAAAAAATATTGTGTAGGGAAGGGGTTGCCATCACAACGATTTTTTTAAATAAAAATTAATTTTAAGTTTTTTTCAAAAAAAAATTCTTTCTTTTTCTATTAATCTTTTCTTTACTTTTTTTTCCTTTTTTCCTACCAAAGAGAGTGATTGATTGATTTTAGTCAGGCTTTTCTTTTTTCATTTATTGACTTACCCTTAATTTTAAAATTTTCTTTTAACAATTTTTATTAATCATTTAATTTTTAAAAATTTTATTTTTTAGAGACAAACTTGGTCTAAAATTGAAAAAAAGAAAGAATAAATCTATTTTATTTTTAACAACAAAAAGCTATTTATTGATTTAAAGAAGGGAATACATACATAGTTACACACATAAATATTTTCATGAGGTACTTTTTTGTCATCCACTTTTTTTAGTTAAAAAGAAGAAAGGAATTAATTTGGTGCTATTTAATTGTTATGGGATTAAAATTGAAAAAAATTTTTGGGATAATTCACCGAAAGGACAATTCACTGAAAAATTTTTTCAAAAAAATTTTTATTAAAAAAATTAATTTTTATTTGGTTAATCCTACCAAAAAATAATAAAATAAAAAATTAATAGCTTTTCCCAAATTTTTTTTCCAAATTTCCTTTTATTCCTTTTCTCATCCATCGATTTTCAGATTATATGACTCAGTGCAGCAAATCAGGATTGAAAGAGAAAATAAAATATTGAACGAAAATAATATTTCTACAGCTATTTTGGTATTTTGTTTTATTTATTTAAAAAAATTTTATTTATTAGGAGGAACCAATCGTTGAAATAGACTCGCCAGTTGATTCAGTTGTTCACCTTTTTAGTAATTCAAACGAAACAATGTTTGTGGTTGAACAGAAGGGAATACAAACAATTCCTCTTGACGTTAGTTTTTTTAAAATTTTTTTTTCTAATTTGGGGTGGACTGGGAAGCTCTCAAACTCGGACGTTTTTGATTAACTTTTTCTAAGGGTATTTCTTTAAGTTTTTCTTAATTTAAAAAATTCTTTCAGAATTAACCATTAATTCAAATCGACTTTTCTCTAATTTTTTCTAACTGTTTTAACTTTATTTTCTCTCTTTAAAAGTTTTTATTTACTTGAATCGTTGCTTTTTTGATTATATCTTTTTTTACTTATTTTTAATTTCTCAGATTTTAATTGTAATTCTTTTGTGTAATTCCTTCTTTTATACCGTTCTTTTCTATTTTTATTTTTCTTTCCTATAATCTTTTTAAAATTAAAAAATCTTCTTTTTTTATGGAAAGTTTAATAAAATAATCTCAAAATTAATTTTTAATTTTGACATCATTGTCTTTTAATTGAACTTTTAATTTATTTTCTATTGAGTGCTGGACTATTTAATATTTTCTTTAAATTTAATTTTCTTTCAGGGCCTCCTTAATATGATACTTCTAGGCCTCGCTGTCAGTTTTATAGTTATCGGAGGTGCAATTCCTTATGTCTTTCAATATGCCGAAATTTATCAAAGAAAAAGTGCTGCTGGATTTTCTTTGCTTGTTTGTTTGGCACTTTGTATTGCTAATATTTTGAGAATTGAATTTTGGTTTTTTTGGGATTTTTTAAAAAATATATAAATAATTTAAAAAGGTTTGGGAAACAATTCGAAACACCTCTTTTGGTTCAAAGTATTGTTATGTTGTTAGTTATGGTTTGTTTTGTATTTAAATATTTAAAATTAGGTTGGTAGGAGGGGGGGGGCTTGAATTAGACAAATTAATTGATCGATAAAGGATTGAACGATATATGTATTAAATTCGTTCGGATTTTTTGCTATTAATTACCCTTTTTTGTAAGAAAGTAATTTAAAATTTCAAATAATGAAAAATTTCGAATCGTGTCAGCACTCTTTTAAGAGATTTTTCGAATTAAATTTAATTTGCCATAAAATGAGAAAAATTAGGAACAAATAGAGAAAAAAGTTGGGGCAACTTCCAAAGTATTACCCGTATTTTTGTTAATTTTTGAAGTCCATAAATACTACAAAAGTTATTGGATGTTAATTTAAACAATATCTTTTTATCAAAGTTATTTTTCTTTTCAGGTTGCAATGTTAGAAATTTCTGTTAGAATGAATCGGCGTTTAATTCCATCTTATCAACGTTCTTCTATTTGGAGTAAGTTTATTTTTTAAACATTAATTTCTTTTGTATTACAAACAATATAAAAATTAAAATTTTTATCATTTTTAATTTCTTTTTTATTTTCTTCTTTTAATAATTCTCTTCTTTCATTTAATTTATTTATGTCCTGAATTTTCTATTTAAAAATTAAGAAAATATTTTTGGAAAGGATTTTTTATTTTATTTAAAAATTTTAAAAATCCTTTAGATTTTTCAAGGGAACACTTGAAAAATTGATTTTTGCAAAAATGGGGTCTATCATAATTTATTTAAATAAAAATTAATTTTATTCCCCCCCCCCCTCTAATTTTCTTACCAAATTATTTTCTTCTTTTTTTATTTCATCTTTTCTTCTTTCAAAATTGCTACTACTTCTACTTCTCATAAATTGGTTTTTTAAAGCTAAAGCTCTAGCTGTTGCTTTTCTTAAAATTCCAATAGGAGAAGATGTTGTTCTTGAATGATAATAATAATTATTTTGTTGTTTTTGTTGGGTATTTTTTAATTTTTGTGTTTTTCTTCTTCCAGAAATTCCTGGCAAAGAAGAATGTCTTCTCTTTCTTTTTATTTTTCTCTTAACAGACATTTTACAAGGCATTCTAAATATTATTTCTTCATTTGTTAAAAATTCTTCTGTTGTTTCCTCTTCCTCATCTTCCTCCTCCTCATCTTTATCTGTACTAATATATTCTGGAGCTGGAAGTGAAGTTGCTGTTACAACTTTAGGAAAAAAATATTTTTTGAAAAATTTTAAAGTTGAGTATTAAGTAGTGTCTGTCAATAAAAACTTTTTCTATTGAAATGTCTAATAATGTCCCTTATAAATTTTGATTGACTTTTTTGGGATTCCAAAAAATCCATATTTTTCTCTAAACTTTCATTTTTTACATCTTATAAAAAAATTTTTATTTTTACATTTTTTCGGTACTCTATTGTTTGTTGTAGCCAATAAAAGTGTTGTAATAACCATTCCATTTCTATTAAGCATTTGACTTTCTTCGAAAGAATATTTTTTATTTTCATCTTCTTCCTCATTTAAAAATCCATTTTTAATTAAATTATTATCTTCTTCTTCTTTCAATTCCTTCTCTTTTTCTTCTTCTTTTCTTCTTCCTTCATTTCCTCCTCCCATTAAAGCAGATGTTACACAATTAGCACTAACCATTAAAGAAGAAACTGCTCCTTTTTCTTTTTCTCTTGGAGGGACATATCTTCTTTTTTGATTATTTGTTGGTAAAAGGAAATTTTGTTTTGTTGTCCAAGTTTGTTGTTGTTGTTGATTTGTTTTTGTTAATTGTTGCTGTTTTTTCCGAACGATTCTTTGAGCTGTTTGAGGGTCTGGGGGTTTACACAAATATTTTGGACAAATTTTGTATATTTGTTTCCACAAAGGAAGTATTGCACACAAAGCAGAACGTTTAAATTCTCGGACAGTAAAAGAATAAATTATTGGATTAAGCATTGAATTGCAATAACCTAACCATGAAGCTATATCGATAATTAAAGATGGAAAGCAACCATTGCATTTGTAGTCTGTTTATTAAAAAATAATTTTTTTGGATAATATTTTGTCCCCTAAACTTGATTGTCCTTTCTCTAAAAATTGGCATTTTTTCGAACGAGAAAAAATTCTCTGTAAGATTGTTTGGATATTTTTTGAAAACAATCTTTACCAAACTTTTTAAACAAAAATTTATTTTTTATAAATTTGTCTTACTGAGAAGATAAAGCGTGAAAAATGGTAACCAGCAAAATAAAAATGAACAAGAAATAACTCCAAGCGTTTTAGCTATACCTAAAATAAAGTCTCTTTTATTTAAAAATCATTTCAAAAAACTTCTCACGTTCGTGTGTTCTCAATACTCTTCTTTGTTGTTCAACCATTCCTTTATTTTTGCCAACATGTACTCTTAAAGCTGTCTAAAAATATTTTGAAATTTAATAATTTTTTATTTTTCTAAACCGTTTGTGAAAGTGTGTTAGTTAAGAAGTTCATATTATGACCCAAAATCATTAAAAATCCTCTGTCCAAAGCTTTTTGTCTATTCCTTGCAAGTCTATAAATTCTCCAATAAAGTGTAAGTGTAACTGAAGCAGGCAAGAAAAAGGCAAATACAACACTATGGGCTAAATAACGAATTTCGTGGCCGGCAAAGCATGTCTTAATTGAGAATATTAATTTTTATTAATCATTCTTTTTTTCTAAAATTGTATTTCTCATACTATAATGCTTGCTTGATTTGTATTTGTTTTTTCATAGTTTAATTTTATCTATTTACGACTTTTGTCTATTATTCTCTGAATATCCCCAAAATAAAACTAATTCTTCCTTTCAACTAACATCATTATTTTTGCTCCATTCCAAGTCCCATCTAATTGTGCAAAGCAAAACTCCAAAAGAAAATACCCATATACAAACAATCACAACAATTATTTTGAATGTAGTAACTAAAGATTTGTATCGAAGAGGTTTTGTTACAGCAAAATAACGATCAACAGAAATTACACAAATTGTTACCTTTTTTTAAAAAATTAGAAAAGGGTTTTCGGAATTTTGAGGCCCAAATAATTATATTACTTACCACTGAGCATGTACAAAATGTTACATCCGCTCCCACCTTAAAAATATTTTTTTGAAAATTAAATTCATTTTAAGTACTTATTTCAGTCCCCACATTTCCCCCTCACTCTCTCAATATTCACAAATATATTAATTAAACTAACCCAAATTCTACACATTAATCTTCCAAAAATCCACTTTCTCTGTGTTAAATAAATAGCCCCAACCGGAAGTACAAAAAGTCCAACCAAAAAATCAGTCAATCCCAAATTCCAAACTAACAAAGTTGTATTCTTTCTCCCAACTCTAGCTTTAAATAATAAAACTAATAAATTCCCAAAAACGGTTAAAGAAATAATTAAAAGTGAGGGAATTGTTAATAAAAATATTAAAAATGTTGGTAATGCTTTTGTTGTTTGTTGGGAATTAAATATTGAAAATATATTTGTTGTTGTTTGATTTAAAAACATTTTTATTAAAATATTAAATACCTTTTTAATTTTTCTATTTTATTTAATTGATTAAAAAAATTTTTTTAACAAATTAATTAGTAATTTCCTTCCTCTCTTTTTTTAAATTTTTTAAAGAATGATCAAATTTCATTTTTAGTTTTTGAAAGAAAAAAAAATTGGGTTAAATAAAAGTTGAGACTTTTTTTTTGATTTTATGTTGGGGAATGTTTTTCTTTCAAAAAACTGTTCAAAAAAATTACTAATTTTTTTTTAAATTTTTCAAAAAAATCTTTTCTTTTTAGATGGTGACTTTATTGAGGATTTTTGGAAATGGAATGATTTGTCAAGCTTTATTGTGGCATTACTTTTTTTCACAATAATATTCTCTTTACTTAATGGAATTTTCTACACGGTGAGGAAAATAAAAATAATAAATATAAATATTTTGAAGTACTTTTTAAGGGAAATTATTTTTTTAAGTTTAAAAATATTCAAAAATGTTTAAAAATAAATGTCAATTAAATTAATTTAAAATACATTCTTATTTACCTAAAAATTTTTCCTAAAATCTTTTGCGTTAAAAATTTGATTTGTAGCACTGCAGGCGAAAATTTTGAGCATTTTGGGTGTCCAATACTTAGGAAAAATCCGAGCTCTCGTTTGTTTCTATTCCACATTCTAGACGGAATTTTGAGATTCCTTTCTAAAAATATTTTTAGGTTATTAGATTATTTTCTTTAAATCCTCCAAATCACCGCAAATATCAATTTAATTTTTTTTAATTTTGCAATAAAAAATAAATAAATATAATCTTTGATTTTTGGTAAATTGAACAATAAAAATTTTGTTTGAAAAAAAATAATCTACATTTTTTAAACTTTTCTAAATTTAAAATAATATTAGAGAGAAAAGGCATTTTATATATTATTGCCTTTTATTTTATTAAATTTCCTTTCTAAAAAGATTTTTATAAAGAACGTAAAACCCCCACACCTTTATAGTTGGCGCAAACTAGAAAAAACATTTTAAAATAAAAAAGATAGAAGAAATGTGACATTGAGGTCATTTTAAAATTTTTTTTGATTGAGAGGGAGATAGGGAGGGGGATTTCGGAATTAGAAATTTTTTTTAAATTTTTTAAACTTTTTAATAATTCTGGGGGGGGGGGGGGGGAGGGTTGATGTTCTGTTAAAACAATTATTTAAAATAAAAATAAAAGAATTTAAAAATTAAGCAAAATGCGGGTTTAATTAATTGGAAATTAGTTAAATTTTGACGGTTTATTTTTAAAAAACAATATTTTTACTGGAAAAGTTTCTACTTTTATTTTTTTTAATAATAAAAATTGAAGTAGAAAAAAGCATTCAATTTTATACATTTTAATAAAAAAAAATTGCCAATTTTTGACACAAACTTTTTTTAGTATTTTTTCCTTTTAAAATAAAATAATTTATTAAAAAATTTTTTTTCTTAATTTAATTGACATTTTTATAACATATTTAATTAATATAAATATAGAAACCAAGCATAAAATTTAATTTATAAAAAATAATTAAATTAACAGAATGTATATTTTGTTGAAGCATTGGGATTAAGTGCGTTACTTGTAGAAGCATGTCTTGGAATTCCCCAATTATTGCGAAATTTTCAAAGAAAATCAACTGTTGGAATGAGGTAATTGTTTTTGGGGGTTTATTGCAAGTATTTGTTTTTACTAAATTTAAATAATTACCCCCTCAAGTCAGAAATTAAAAATTACTTGGGGTATTTGAGTAAATACGGTATCAGCTTTTTTCCAATTTTATATGTACGAACCTTTACAAGAATTTTTTTAATCATTAGAACTATGTAAAATTTTTATTAAATTGTGAGAGGTCCACAATTCATTTTTTTTAATTTTTATGTTTTTTAGCGTAAAAATGGTATTAATGTGGTTAATTGGAGATTTAGGCAAAACAATTTATTTTGTTGTCCGTGCAAGTCCAGCACAATTTTGGATTTGTTCTTGTCTTCAAGTAAATTCTTTAAATTTTCTGAGAATTCTTTTTATTTTTTGAAGATTACAATAGATATTTTAATTCTCCTTCAAGTTTGGATTTATGGACGTAAACACCCCCATTCAACTGATTTACATAATACTTCCCTTCCAAATAGTTTTGAGCCAAGCACTACATCAAAAATTTAATTAATTCTTTTTGACTTCTCAATTAAATTTTTGTGGTCCCGTTTACAGAAAAACAATGGTGATATAATTAAAGTTTTGAAAAAATATTTTCCTCACAAACTTGTCCTCCACAGATTTTTTGAGATGTTTGTGTCTGTGATCTTTAAATGGATTTTTTATAACCTTTTGGAATATATTTATTATTAAAAGAATTTCAAGAACACAAACACACACATTTCTCTTTAATTATAACAAAAATGTCACAAAATTTGAATCAATTTTCTTTTTTTATTTATTCGTGATTATTCCTTTTCTTTTCGTTTGTCTGTCACTTCGCGCAAAAATTTTGTTTTTTTTGATTATAATTTTGTCAATGCTTTCTCTTTTATTATTTTTCCTTTAAAATTAGTCTGCCCATTATTTTTCAATTTAAGCATATTTAATTGATTTATTTTAAAATAATATTCAATATTTGAATTTATTTTTTGATATTTGAGGGAAAATTTTTAGTTAATTACCTCAAATGTTAGAAAAAGAAAATTGTGCTTCCCCTCTCCCCCTATTTTCGGGTTTTTTCTTGCGAATCTCTTAGATTATTTTACAAATTAAAGAAAAGGCCTCTTATCCAAATTTAATTGCATAAATTTTCCTTTTAAAAATTTCCTCATTTTTTTTCATTTATTGTAATTCTCTCAATCTTTTTTTTCTTCAAACAGATATTGTAAATCTCCACTTATCTGTCTATAATTTGAGCGATTTTTTAAAATTAAATAAATTTATTTAAAATATTTTTTTGTCAATTCCAACAGCTTCCTTCACATTTTTAAATCCATCTTTTTTGAGTAATTCAGCCAATTCTCTTTTAACACGTCCAACAACCGGGAATCCTTGATAAACTAATGCTGTGTAAATTTGAACACCAGAAGCACCTGCACGTATTTTTTCGTAAGCATCTGCGCCTGAAGAGACTCCTCCACAACCTTTTAAATTAATAATTATTTTTTAAAAGAAAATTTCTAAAAATAACCAATTATTGGAATTTTTCCGTCAGTCAATCTATACATTTTTGCAACACATTTTGTGCTTAATTCACGTAATGGGGGACCAGAAAGACCTCCATTTGGAAGATCTTTTGCCGATATTCCACTTAATGATTCTGGACGAGTAATTGTTGTGTTGGTTACAATAAGTCCATCAACCCCATAAAGAGGGTTTAAACAAACCTAAAAAAGAAAAATAATTTTTTGTTATTTTTAACAACTAAATTCATTAAATTAGTGAATTTCCCCTGCGAAAACTTTTCCTCTGCGAAAACTAATTCATTGCCCATTGAGATCTATTACTACCTAAAGCTTCTGCAAGATCCTCTCAATTTTTGTTTTTCCCTCCAATTTTTTAAAATTAAAAATAATTTAAAAAAACCTCAGAAATTTGTTTCATTTCTACATCATTAAGATCCGGAGAGATTTTAATAAATAATTTAGGTATTCTTTTTTCATTATTTGTTGCTCTTTCAAGTGAAACTTTAATGTCAGAAAGTAACTTTAAAAACAAATTAAAAATTAATTAAAAATAAATAAATAAAAACTTTAATTAATTCATTTTTAGCTTGATATAGTCTAAGTCCAGGTGTATTTGGAGAAGATATATTAATTACTAAATAATCACAATATTGAGAAACGTGATGAATTCCAATTTCGAAATCATGAATGGCTTCCAAAGTTTCTTTATTTTTACCTTTAAAAAGTAAAAAATTATTATTAAAATAAAAAATATTACCTAAATTAATTCCAAGTGCAACCGGGGATTGTGAACTATAAGCTATAAAAATAAGGGGATTTTTAATTATAAAAATAATTTTTCTTACCATTTTTTAGTCTTGCTGCAACAGCCCCAACTCCTCCACTATTAAATCCATAACAATTTATTACAGCCTTTTAAAAATTAATTTTAATTTAAAATAAAATTTTAAAGAAAAACCTCTTCATCAGAAAATCTAAAAATTCTTTTCTTTGGATTTCCAGGTTGAGGTAAAGGTGTAACAGAACCAATTTCTATAAAAGAAAACCCACTCTTTCGAAGACCTTCAATTGCTTTTCCATCTTTGTCAAAACCAGCAGCTAATCCTTTAAAGAATTTTTAAAGAAATGTTAAAAATCCCCGGGACAGAAGTTTTCAATATTTAAGCAGGGAAATGGAGACTTTCAGAGAAAAGTAAAAAAATAAAGTCAGAAATTTTTTTAATAATTAATCATAAATATTTATTAAATTATTTTTTTCTAAAAATGCACACAAATATTTTTTCGTTCCATTTTTATAAAATTAAATTAATTTTTATTAAATTTATTTACCTATAGGACTGTCCAATTCTTTCCCAAATAACGAGCATTTTAATTCTTTATAATTTTTTAAAGATTCACGAGAACCCAAAAATGCGCCATAACTAGCTAGAAAAACTCCTAATTGATGAGCACTTTCTGGTTCGAAAAAGCGATGGACGAGAGGCATTACCTTTAAAAAATATTTTTTAAAAATTGTTTTCAAAAATATTTACCCATTTTTTATAAAATAATTCATTTCCATTTAACAATTCAAAAGCACAAAATAAACAACTAGAACTAGCAAAAACTGTCAAAGTAGAACGTGTCTAAAACAACTAATTTTTAAATAAAAAAATTTATTTTATATTTAACCATATAGCCAGGCGGAAGACGAGGATATAAACGAGTGGCCATTTTATGGTAAAGAATTTAATTGACTGAGAAAATCACGGGCCTAAAAATTTAAAAATGATTTTCAAAAAAAAATTATTTTACCTCTTGAGGGGTAAATTCAAAAATAAATAAACGGTTGTCGGTGGAAATTGAAAGTTGAATTAGTGGAGAGAAATGTTGGGGATGGGTATCGACTGAAGAAACGAGCTGTGAAAATAAAAAAATTATTTCAATAATTAGCAATATCCAAAATGTTAAAAATTCTAATGACAATAAAGGAATTTAATTTGTCGGAATTCCTACAATCATTTAATGACCCTCTTATCCCATTTACAAAAATTAAAAAAAAACCTTTGCTGTAACGTCAATTTTATTAATAATATAATTTTGCATTAAAAAATAAAAATTTTAAAAATAAATTAAAATTATGAGAAATTATAAAGATATAAAAGTAAAAATTTTAAAAACTAAATTTTTAAAAATTGGAAGACAATTTATAATTAATATATTAAAATTATGCAAAAAAACAAGTAAAATAACAAATACATATGTAAATGAGAGATTTAGAAACTTATTCAATAAATTATGCAAAAAGGAATATAAAATTAATTAAAAAAAAGTAAATACTTAAAATTAATTAAGTAATCTTAAAAATAAAAATATTTTTTGAATGATCTAAAAATTATCACACTCCTCAATAAATGCACATACTAACAAGTTTAAAGAAAAATTTTCCCGAAGCAAAAGTTATTCCTGTCATGACCTACTGACAACAATTTAATATCGACACTCTCTCTACAAATCCTCATCACCAACATCTTCAAAACTTTCATTTTCCATAAAAGGCATTTGATAAGATATTAATTTTATTACAAAATTTCCATAACCATTTTGCATAATTTCTCCCTCTATTCCATTAGATACAGAAGAACCACTAGCAGATTTAATACTTAATTGGTCTGACAAAATTGAATTAGCTTTTGATGCTTCTAAAGATTCAGCAGCACGTATAGAAATACAATCATCAAATTTATATGGAGGAGACTTAAAATTAAGTTTTAATTGAGTATTCTATTTAATTAAGTTTCTAATTGAAATGTATTATTTAGGAATTTTCTCCGAATTATTAAAGTATTTTTTAAAAATTTCTTCGAAAAATCTCTTTTATTAAAAAACAACTTTTTTATGAAACGACCTAGTAAGTCTGGAATTAACTTATGTTTTTTATTCCATAATAACTTACATCGAGCTAAAAATAATAAAAAACTAGAGGTGACTAACTTAAAAGAGCTTTTAAGAATAAAAATCTCAAAAATGAGAAAAATAAAAAATTAAATTTACAGTGGATCCTTCACGAGAACGTAAAATTTCATCAGCAATTGATTGTAAAAATAAAGAAAGTAAAACAGCATGTGTTGATTCCATTTCTAATGTAAAAACGGAAAATTCATCTCTACGAATTAAATATTCCAATTGAAATGTCATCATTGAGGTATTATTTAATTGTTGATTATTTTGTTGTAAAGGATTGTCTAAATGAGATACACGCCAAACACGAATCCTTTTTGATAATAATTTGCATGTACGGATTGTCTAAAAAACAGTATTAAATAGTCCTTTTACATAACATATTGAAATGAAAGAACCCCAAATTCGCACTTTCAAACTAACAAATCACAACCCCCAACCTCTCCAAAATTTAAAAAAAAATAATAAAAAACCTCATTATCCTCCACATCTTTATATTCAAGTAATAATTGTCTTCTTCCAACTTTTAACTCGCAAAGTGTCATTTCACCCTTTGGAGTGAGTTCTGCAAGTACAGGCGCTAACCATTCATATCCATAACCAACTTGTAAATGACAAAGACGAACAAACTATTTAAAAACATTTTAGAGATTCTTAAAAAATTATAAAAAACCTGTTTAAATTCTCCAAATTCTTGAAGTGAAGTAAGTTTTGTTTTTACATCCGAAGGAACTTGTAAAAGTCCTTTTTGAATATCATTTAATGCCTAAAATATTTGAAGTAAAAATTAAAAAATAAATTACCTGTAAATAAAGAACTTTTAATGAACCAGGATCGTCTAATAAAGGTTCTTCAAGTGATGGATCCCAAGAGACTCGACGAATGAGAATTTTATGTTGAAATTGCTGGTCTTTTGAGGGGTTTGAAAGTTGTTGGGAAATAAAAGGCGATTCGAAATTTTTTAGCCAACGAACACCTAAAATATTTTAAAATAAAAAGATTAACAATTATTTTTAAATATTTGGACAGGATTCCAGATAAATAAAAACATGCCAAAATACTAAAAATGTATTAATTAATTTTGATTTTATAATTTTCTAATTTTCATGCTTGTCTTTAAATGCTAGAAAATTTAAAAATAAGTTAAAAAAACATACAAAGCATGCTGAAACGAGTAGAGGAGCTATTTGATGTACTTTCATCCCCATTATCACATAATTCAGGTCTTTGATGTGCAAGAAATAATCCAAAATATCTAATATTTCTTTCATTCATAACTATAGCCCGGCAAAGTTTCTAATAATTAAAAGCCCCTTTATTAAATATTTTTCTTCCTTTAACTAACCAACATAACACAATTTGTAGAATCATCAGCACAACATTCAATATATACAGGCCTTCCATCAGGTAATAAAATTTCTAATTTAACAACTCTACTTATTGAGGCAGAAAATGATCTGACTTGAAATTCAAGGAAAGCATTTTCAATAATTGCGTGTCTGGCAACATCTGGACTCGAAATAACTAGAAAAATAATTTCTTAAAAATTAAAAGGAGGAAATTGGAGAATGTTCGAAAATCAAAATTATATATAAAATTAAACCTCCTTGTAAATATTTAGAAAGCGCTTCTCTCCTTTCATTTAAAGATTTGTTGTCTAATTTCCATATTTTTTTGGGCGGAAATTCGGGAGCTTCTAAACGATGTCCAAAAGTTTCAACAAGTTTTTCATGAAGTGTATAAAGTAAATTATAACGAACACTTGCATGAAAAGCTCCATTTACGTGAATATCATAAACCTTTTAAAAATTAATTTTATTTTAAAGAAAAATATAAATTTTTTACAGTATATTTGTTGAATGGATCATCAGGTTCTGTTTGTGTTCGAGTAGATGGAATAGAAATATGAATCATTTAAAATACAGGGTATTTCAACTAACAATAAGCACTATTTGAAAAAAATACCCTGTACACTAAAAAGAAGATTTATTTATGCATCAGATAAAAAGTAAATCGAAAGTAATATTAATACTTAAAAATCCTAAAAACAAAAGGGTAACAAAACGTGAAGAGCGAAAAATTCAAATCGAGTAACAATTCAGACTAAAAATGTCCGGAAAACGAAAGAATAAATTCAACAAACGGTGGAGGAAAATGTCAGAAGGGCAATAAGGGCAAAACTGACAAAAGGAGAGTGAAAGCTCAAAGGGAAAACTCAAAAGCTATTGTTGAACATCAGAGAAAATACCCTAGAAACTCAAACCCTAATCTAGAAAAGCAAAACAATTTTTTAAACACTTTATTTATCAACACAACAAAATATACATACAAGTTTACAATATATACATACATTTGTGAACAAAAACAACAATGAGGGCAATAATATCACAATATCAAAAGGGTTACAATTATCGACATGTGTGGGGCTACAATTATCGGCATACATCTATGACCTATTTCCTCGTTCCTTCAGTCCTGTGCGAACGCGGCACCTAGTCTTCGTCTCCCGTAGCCAACACGTCTTCGTCGTTGTCCAGTGTTGAGGTGAGTTGCAGCTCCGAGCCATTCTACAAAAAAAGAAAAAAATTATTTGACGTTAGAGAAAGGCAAAAAAGATTGCCTTGATTCCGAGGTTCCCAACCTTCTTGTCATTAGCCAGCACCTGCTTCTGATGTGTCAGAATTTGCTGCGCCGGAGGCATCTTCTTCACCTTCTTGATCTTATCCTTCAGAGCTGCCACGGTGTCGCTCTCGCCGACCTCCACGCTGAACTTTTCCCCTTTGAGCTCCATGTCCTGGATTCTGCCGTCACTCATGCAGGTGAAGTGGCCAGTACCCACAACCATGATCTTCAGCCCACCGCGTAGACGAAGCACCAAATGCAGAGTAGATTCCTTCTAAAAAATGGAGGGAATTGGTTAGCGCTAAAAAAGAATGAGAGATTTAAATTAATTAAACACCTGAATATTGTAGTCGGCTAACGTACGACCATCCTCCAATTGCTTCCCTGCGAAGATGAGACGTTGCTGCTCTGGGGGGATCCCCTCCTTCTCCTGGATCTTGGCCTTGACATTCTCGATGGTGTCTGACTGCTCGACGTCCAAGGTGATCGTCTTCCCTGTGAGCGTTTTGACAAAGACTTGCATGGCGGCGGCAGCAAACGTTGAGCACGAAGAGCAGAGACAAGTTGTTGATGATTTGAAGGGCGCGGTTATACAGTCAAAAAAGTACCGGCTTTTATACTATCACGTCTACATTATTCTAAATCGGAATACAGAATATCTATCAGCAAAATTTTAGTGATTTTAAAATTTAAAAATTTGAAAGAAAGGAAATTATTTATTTTTAGAAAAAATAAATTTAGAAACAAAGTATTTTTTACAGTTTCTATGTACCTATTTATTTTTGATTCGATCTTTTTCTATTTTTAAAAGAATTTTGTTTCTTATTATTAATCTCTTGTTGCTCTCTATAACGAAAGGCCAGTGAGGGAAATGTACACAAACGTGCCAATGTAATATCGGGATTATTTGTAGAAGGCACAGTTTCTGATTTGCGCATAAAATGTTGATTTGAAAAATATTTGGTTATAGGTGATGATTCTGGATATTTTTCTTCTTCGTCATCGTAAGAGTGAACAAATTCCTTAAAAATAATTTTATAAATTATTTTATTTAAATTTAATAGTAACTCTGAGATAAGACAATTACAGATAAATTTAAAAATTATTATTAACTTTATTTGTTTATAAATTGAAAATCAAAAAAGGTTAAAGCAGGGCTGCGATTCGTGCTTATTTTGGATGTACACAATACTTACAATCCGTCCTCCTTATTTACGAAATTGAAAATATATGTACCTACATATATTTGTAAGTTTGATTAAAGAATGAAATTTAACCTCAAAATTCTAAAAATCTTGCTTGCAAAAAAGTGAATTAAAAAAATTTTTTTGTAGCTCACTTATAAATGATGAATTTTCCCATTATGTTACTTGTAAATTAAACATTTTGTACATAAACCTAACATTTTCACGATCGCAGCCCCGGGTAAAAGTATTTCTTTCAGACTATATAAAAGCAAATCTATTTATTAATAGAACTCTTTCACCCAACCAATCTACCTAAATTGTTATTGTCTTCATTTCATAAAAATGTAAGTTTATTTTATTCCTTAATTAATCTCTTTTTAATTCTCAAATAATTTTTCAGTTCAAAATGGACATTTCAAAAATTGTGCTCATCACTACAATCTTCACTTTTCTCAACACTTCTGCTGTTTTGGCAAAGTCAGTCGCTGTTATCGACAACGAACCGGAATTTCGGGACCCAAATGATGGAAAAAGAAGATTGTCAATGATTGTAGAAGATGCAACAGCCGAGCGGGAGTGGGGGATGAATTGGTGGCTGATCCTTAAAATCATTGGTATTCCCCTTACTAGTATTATTGCCTGTGTTATTCTATATGTGAGTTTAATTTCAGTGTATTCTTTCATTTAATCATTTTAAAGTGTACCATAAAGTGCTTTTCCGACAAGTGGAAAAAGGCAAGGAATGATGCTCGGGCGCGCAAGAATAGCCGTACAAAAAGCAAGAGCCGCGACAAATCAGGAGAAAATACCAAAAGAGGGGGAAGTCAGCGAGCATCTTCTTCAGGAGGAACAAAATCTTCATTTGACATTAAAAAATCAGATGGCTTCCCAAAATCAATTTGTGATGTTCCACAAGAGCTTGACCTAATGGAAGTAGGAGCTGGAGGAGGAACTGCTGCAAGTCGATGGGGAACTCTTTCAATTTCCAGTACAACAAAGTCAACAACAAAATCAGCAGCCACAGCTAGCCGAATGGTTGGAGGTTCTAAATCGACTGTCAATTCTGCAACTGGCGCTACTTCATTAAATGCTGCTAAAGGCGTTGTTACACCTGATACTATAAGTGAAGAATCAACATCGGACAGAGAAAAAAGTAAAGAGGAAAGTAGTGGTGAAAATAAGAGTAAGAAGAATAAAGGAGGAGGAGGAGTAGCTAATTCTGCATATATTGCACCTGGTGTACAAGCTGGATCTATTTTTATGTGATAAAAGGAAATTTTTTTGTAGTTAAATACGTCTATATTGTATTTTTGTAATTTTGTTTGTAGTTAAATAAATAAATTGTGTAAAAAAATAAGGGGAATTTAAATTGTTGATAGGGGAGAGAAAAATTAATTTTTAGTTCTTTAATCTTTAAATTTTTGTTTTTAAAATTTTTTCTTTTTAAATGGAAATCTTTGGTTTATTGTCAGCAATTGTCAGATAAACTTTTTAAAAATTACCTCAAATCGAACAGAAAGCCTTTCAGGAGGTAGTGGGGGTGTTGTGTCCGGCGGTTGATGACTACTGCTATTAATTGTTCGTAAAGTAGATCTAGCACTTCCTCTATTTATTACAGAACTTTTTCTATTGGAAATTTCTGATTGTGAACGTTGTCCCATTGATGAACGATAAGAACCTCTTTCCCCTCCTCCCCCGCCCCCACGTAAACTACTTCTAAGGCGTTTTTGGATTTGTAAAAGGCTTATGGCACTCCATTTTCTTTTATTTCTTTCATCTGCATCTACCCATTCGGGGAATTGTCCGTCTCTAAGAAATAGAGGGACTAATTCTGGTGGCCAAATTCCATCCATAATCTTTAAAAATTAACTTTTGATAATTATTATCAAAAAACAAGTGTTTGCTTGTATATACATATTATTCAAAAATTTAAATTATGTAATCATCTCTTACTATAAAAAATCCTTTCTCTAAAGGAAAATTAGTTAAAAAATTTTAAAAATATTACAATCCTAATAATTAAAGAGAATTAATAAAGAGAATCCAATTATAATACATAATTAAAAAGAATTAAATTACAAATTACCATATGTGTTTGAGGTACTCTATTAAGTCTTCCTTCCTTTACTTGAATAGCATTCTTTTAATTTTAAAATATTTTTTTTCTTAATTTTAAATAATTTAAATTACCGAAATTAATTTTTCCAAATCTAGATCACACAAAACAGCAGGCTCTAAACCGATATTTTGTCCTAAAGCTACCAACAATTCTCTGACCCGTAAACTAAAAATATTTTTCTAGATTTTTTAAAAAATTTTCTAAACTGTTTTGCACCAAACCAAATTTTAATACTTGCAATATTTCTTATCTTTCGACCCAAATAATAAAGTTTTTTGACATAAGTAGATCCAATATCTTTAAAAATAAATAAATTTTGTGTAATTATTTAAATAACAAAATATTCTAATTTTTATTAAAAATTAGAGAAAAATTAAAATTATTAAAAAAGAAGGAAATTTAAAATAATTATTTTGTGATTATTTTTAGTTTAAGCTATAACAAATTTATTTACAGAAATTCTCTCAAAGAGGAATTTGGAGGGGGGATTATTTCTAAAAACAATTTTTATATAATTCAATTTTCTCTCTGTTTTTTAATTTCTAATTAATTTTCAATTACCTAAAGCAATTGTAGATATAGCCAAACCAAAACAAATATAAACAATTACTATAGGTAAATAAATTACTCTAAAAATTAAAAAAAAAAATTTAAAGAATTTAATTAAAATTAAACTCAGAAGGTATTAATTTTCCATATTCTATAGCTGTTAAACAAAGAAAAGCAAAATAAATTCCATTAGGAAAATCTACTTGTTCATCTAGCCAGTCAATTAAAATAGCTCCCAGAAACTTTTAAAAAAATTAATTTTTTTTAATCCCCCTCCCCTCTTTTTTACCAAATAAAGTATAACAATAAAAATTAAAGTAAGTGGAGATGTATGTTCATCTTCTTCTTCCTCCTCCTCTTCAATTATTTCTTCAATTTGTTCATCTATTTGAACATTACAATTTTCTAATAAATTGGGTGATTTTGGATTTAAACTACTTTAAAATTAAAAAAAATTAAACAAAAATAATTTTTCTTTAATTTGTTAAATCGTGTAAATAATTTTTAGTTTCTAAATAAAATAAGAAAAATTCGAAAATTAAAATAGAAACAAATAATTTACGAATTATATTCTCGTTTCTCTCATTTCCTAGATAATTAACATTCATTTCAAGCTCTCACAAATAATTTAAATTTATTTTAGTTTAATTTAAATTGTAATTTAAACGTTTTATTTAAACTTAACTCTTTTCTAATAATTTGTTGTGAAGTTTTTCTTTTATTAAATAGCCGCCTCCATCTACGCCAAAATTGTTTCCTTAAATATTTTTCAAATTTTTGTAAATAACGACCAAAATTTGTAAAAATAATAACAGTAAAGGGAACTCCAAGAAAACCATAAAAAACAGTAAATAACTTTAAAAGAAAAAGAAGAATTTCTTTTAATTAAAAACAAGCAATAAACAAACAAACCCTTCCCTGAGTTGTTCTCGGCTCTATTTTTCCGTAACCCAAAGTTGTTAAAATTCCAAACCCAAAAAGTGCAGCATTCCTTTTTTAAATTATTTTTAGAAAAAAATTCAAAATATATTTAAAACTTTAAATTCCATTCCATTCTTTCATCTCGAACTTGAGACAATACACAACCAGCTACTATTCTGTTTGCAATAAGTTTAGCTACAAAATATGTTTTTAATTAAATTAAAATTCTGATTTTTTTAAAATTTAAGTGAAGAGAATGTTTCCAGAAAGTTTTAAATAAAATTCTGATTTTTTCTAAGTTTTATTTATTTAATTCTGATTTTTATTAAATTTCAATTTCTTTTTTCTAACCAGCTAAATGTGTTTCTTCTTCCCCTCCCCCTCCATTTTCTACTTCTATTTTTTCTGATTCTAAATTTCTTTCAACACATTTTAGCCTTTCAATTAATTCTTCCCTTTTTGCCATTTTCCAATTAGGTTCTTCAAAATATAAAAATATACATCCACCAATTACTGAATATATTAATAAAAAGCAAAGGCACGCTAAATTAACGGCTAGAGGTTTTCGGTAAAAGAAGAGGCACTAAAAATTAATTTAATTAATTAATTGTGATTATACATATGTATGTAATTCTTTAAATCTCAGATAAATAATTAAAATGTGGATAGAAGGAAAATAAAATCCTTTGTTGAATTTTTAATTCCATAAATTAATCGAAAATTTATTTTTGGAGATAAGAAAATTTTATAAAAAATAATTAATGTAAGGAAGGTTAATAACTGACTGGCAGATAAAATGTTTTAATTTGAATAAAAGGGAAGGCGAAATCATTGCCCGTTAACTCAGTCACATTTAAGTGGTGAGTGAGTATATAGAACTGTCAGGCTTAATTCCAACCAAGTTTCTAAACTTAAAACAATCCCTATTTAATTACAACAAACCGATGGATTTTTCTTTTCATCTTTTTTATTTTCTGTTGTTTGAGATTGATTAATTGAATTATTTATTACCATTTTTATATAATTCTTGATATTAAAAAAGCAACAGTCTTTATAATTAAATATATTTTTTTTTAAAAAAAGTGCCAAAAGATGATTTTCTCTTTTTTTTAAAAGCTAAATATAGGGGGGATAACACAAAAATGGGGGTGGAAAAACAAGAAAAAGGAGGAGGGGAAATGTTTTTATCTTTTGCCAACAAAAAGAGTGGAAGGATTTATTTGGTGCTTTTCGACAACCAAAATATTCTTTTTTGAAAATTTTTTTGTGTATATTTGCGTGATGGATGAAAATATAAACGAAGAATACTTTAAAGGGAATATACATATGTATATCTTTCGTCTTTTCTTTTTTTAGTGCCAAAACTTTTTATTTATTTATTTATTTATCCCTTCAAGATAACTTGAAAAAAAAAGAGTTGTAAATAAATTTGAAAAAAAAATAAGAAAAAGATATTTTGGTCAAAAATGTTGGAAAGGAAAGGCTATTTTTTGCTATGGAAATAGTCTTTCAATTTTTACTTTAAAATGATTTTATCAAAGAATGGAAATCGTTTATGGTCGGTTGTCTTTGCTCCCCTTCTATAAGGGGAGCAAAGACAACCAGCCAGCATGTGCCAAATCATTCCAAAAGTTTAAATATATGTAAATAATCGGATATTTTCTATTAAATCAAGAATCTACAAGCAATTCTTGAGGAGACTTAATTTTTAAATTTAAGTATTTTATATACATATTTATATTAATCTTTATAAGTTTTTTACTAAAAATATTCCAAATAAATCTTTATTTTTAATGTTACTTTTAAACATTAAAAAACAAAAATAAATGTAAATAGTTTATCATATTTTTATTTAAAATTGGAAATATTTCCCAAAGGCAAAACACATTTCTTTTCTTTTTCAAAGTTTTTTTTCATTCAAACAATCAAAAATATTTGTATTTGTTTTTATGTGTTAGCATTGTTGTTGTTAGAGTTTGTTGCTTGATATGGAGCTAATTGAATAACTGTTTGAGCAACAATTGGTGGAAGAGAATTAATTACTTGCTTTAAAAGAAATAATTAAATTTAAATTTTGTTTTTAAATTATTTTAGAAAAAATAAAAAGGGAATTAGGGTTGGGGCCAGATCCGTAAGATTTAGTCAAATTTTGGCCCGACTCGAAAACCCCAACCCTAAAGGGAATATGAGAAATGGAGAATGTTTATTTTGGTATTTTTTTGGTTGAACACATAACTTCTTTTCCCTTATTTTATTAATTAAATTCAAACATTAATTTGGTCACTTTCTTGTTTCATTGTAATATCTTGATTGCTTAAAAAATTTAAAAAAATATTTTAATAAATAATTTTTATTTAAAAACTTGTTAATTTCCCTAATTCTTTTATCGGCATCCTTAACTTCCGCAGTTTGATTACACATTAATTGATCATGTCTTTCATCCAATATTTCCTTTGCTTCATAAAATCCCTGTTCCATTTCTTGATAACAAGACTTTTAAAAATTAAATTAATTAAAAGTCCCTTCCTCTCCTCCCAAAAAATAATTTAAAGTCCCTTCCCCTCCCCTCCCCCTCTCAAATAATTTAAAATTTACATAAAAATATTCTGATTGTTTACTTGCCCAATTATCCAATTGTTCATTAAATATTCTTTTAGTTAAATTTTCCCCTCCAGCTAATAATTGTTGAAGTTCCTTTTTTTAAATATTTTAAAATTAAATTTAATTAATTTATTTACTTACCATTTGTTCTTCAATTGGTAATTTATTAATTAAATCAGAAATACTCATTTGGTAACCAGTTGAATTATCTGTTGATGACTGTTAAAAATAAATTATTTAAAAATTAATTCTATGTAATTTTTAGTATTAACAGGGAGGTCTGTATCTTTTCGAGTTTTATATCCGGAAAGAAATTCTTCGATCTACATTTTGACGAGAGTAATTAAATCAAGTTTCGCTCTCGAACCCCACATATGTATACCTCAGAAAATAAACAGTGGGAGGGGAAGGGGGGGGGGGGGTTCTTAATAAATTCCTTCGCAAATCTACATACATATATAATTGTGTAAATTCCACATATTAACCTAATTTGAGGACAAATATAAGTAATTATTCAAAAATTACCTGAGCATAAATAAATAAAAATAATTTTAAAAGAAAGAAAAAACTTAAAAAATATTTTGACATTGCTTTGAAAAAATAATTATATAAAATTTAAACTTTAAATAAATATATTTATATAAGTGAAATTAAAAATCTAATAATTGGTCTTTTTTAAATAAATAAAATCCGATTTAAATGAGAGAATATAATTTATTTATTTATTTTAATAATCATTTAATAATAATCTATTTTCAATAAAAATATATAAAAAATAAAACAATTGGAATGATGAAAAATAAATTTAAAAAAAGTTTGAGAGAACAATAAAAAATTAAAATATTTAATGAGTAAATAATTAAGTAAATTTAAAAATTCCAAAATAATTTTTTTAAAATTATTATTAAAATCCGAAAAGAAATTTAAAGGAAATTAAAAATTCTCAATAGAAAATTTAGAAAAATATTTTTAAAAATTTTGTTATTTGTTAATTAATTATTTTAATTTTTTCTGGAAGTTTTTAACTTAATTTATTTTTTCATTCTTTCCTTCTTTCAATTTTAGTTTCTCCACTATGCCTTTTTAATTGTAAATTATTCGTTGTTGTTATTAATTGAAGTTTTTTGGTTGTTTTGTTTAAATAAATACGAGAAGGATTTTTAAATTTTTTTGGAATTAATAAAGCTTTTTTGGGTTGTGGAGAAGGCAAAGAAATTAATTTTGATGACTAAAAATTATTTAAAATTAATTTTGTTTTCTTTGGGTATTTATCAGTAGAAAGGAAGCAAAGTTTGAAAATAAATATTCGTTAATTTAATTTAATATACACCCCCCCCAGGGACCGATTGAAGATGAAAGTGGAGGTAAGTGTGATTGTGGAATAGCGAGGATTCTAAATTCTACTAACTATATTCTTACTATGATACCCGGTCTAAAAGAAAGTTATAAAGTAAGTTTAGGTGAAACCTCTCTTTTTTCTTTTCTCTCAAAATTTATTTTTAAATAACTTACAACAATTTTTATATTTTTAATTCCAAAATTTATATTTTTATTTTCTTCTTCATTAATTATTGTTGTTGTTGTTTCCCCATTAATTTCTTCTTCTTTTTCTTCTCCCTTATTACACCCTTCAAAAGAAGCATAATCAACCAAAACTTCATTTTCATCAACAAAATAATTTGAAGGAATATTTTCAAAATTTTGTGAATTTAATATACAATTATGTGAAGAATTTAAATTATTTAAATTCTCTTCGTAATAAAACATCTTTTTAAAAATAATTTTTTAATAAAAAATTAACATTTTTGCCTAAAATTATTCTTAACTTTTTAATTATGTCCTGTCTCCTGATATAATAATTAATCAAACAAAGGTCTCATTAAGGATTGAGGAAATTAAATTTTATATTAAAAAGTCCTTTCACCTTATTATTATTTGTCAATTCTAAAAATACTCTTCCGAATAACCTAACCAAAAAATATTATTTAATTTAAAAAACCCTTACCACAGATTTACATTTTTTATTTTCAACATCTACATATAACCAACAATTTTCCAAACAATTAATTAAAGTTTCAGAATATTTAGAGCCTATAGCATAACCAATTAATGATTTTTGGGGGTAACGATAAATAGGTAATCCATTACAGTAATTAACTAAATGCTCGTTTATACATCCTTTTTCAAAATGAATTGAATTTGTGTTTGGTATCTAGAAATTGATAAATAAATTAATTTTAAAAAACTTTTTTGTTAAAAGCCCCTTTCCTTACAGTCTCGAAATTGGGAATTTAATTTATGTCGACAGGACGCCCTAGTATACATTAATGTTGGCGGATAGTTGAAAATCTTCGGATATCCGGATCCGATATACGAACCGAAAAAAATACTTTTTAAATTGGAAAAATAAATAATTTATTTGTTAAATTAAAATTCCCCCTTTTTTAAATTAACCACCACCCTACCAATCTAACACTTCCATCAGCACTACTTCCAGGACCGTAAAGTAAACATTTATTTTCTATTTGATCAAAAGTTGCACTTAAACATTTAAATGGCTGTTTTCCTTTGGCTATATTAACCATACAAGAAAATATACCTAAAAAATTATTTTTTAATCCTAGCTATCTAAATTACATTCATTTTCAGTCATTCCCCTTTGTTCCAAAATAATTTCTTTATTTTCTTCAATATTTCTTTTCCTTTTTGTTATTTCAGCCAAACTATAACCTTTAGAGGATAATATTATAATATCTCGTCCAGAAGAACACAACATTGGAGGAGGAAAATCTTTTTTTTTAAATTAAAAATTATTTAGATATTAAATTTAAAATTTTTTATTTAAAAAACAAAGTTTTTTTCAAAGAGGAATTATTTTTTAGAAAAAATTATTTTCATTAATTTTAAAATATTTAATTGAAAAATTCGAAATTTTGGAAAGAATTATGGGGGAAATAATTATTTAATTAATTAAAGTTTTAATTACAAGATAAAGTAGTTGTTGTTGGAGGAGGGGGAGAAGGTGGAGGTGTTTTTGTTGTAAATGAATAAGAAGAAATACTTTTTGGCATTATTTTTTCCAATTCTTTTAAAGGTATCCATTTTAATGAATTCCCTCTTTGTGGTGTCATAATTAATTTTTTATTTAAATTATTAATTGGTGGATAACTAGTAGAAATTGGTTTAGCTATTTTAAGTGGTAATTGTAGAGAAGATGATGATGAAGGGATAATAAAAATAGTAGAAGGTGGAGAAGAAATTACTTTAATTAATTTTAAAAAATATGTATTTTTGTAATAAAAAATTTTTAAAAAATATTAATTGTTAATGAGATGATTTTACGTGTAGATTAGCTCATTTTTTTTATTTTTTTTTCTAATAAATAAAAAAACACGTAAAATCACCCCAAACTTTTAAAAGAATAATTTTATTTTTACAATTTTCTGAAGGTAAACTCGTCGATTTTTGTTGTACCAAAACAACTCCATTTTGTCTATGATCTACTATTCCAGTCCCAAAACGTTGTAATTGTCCATTAGGTAAAAATTGTGAAAGTATTCCATTAAAGCCATAACGACTTTAAAAAATAAAAACAAAATTATTTTTCTCCCCCCCCCCCTCCCCTTCCCCCATACCTTTGTAAAACATTTGGATCATAAACAAATGTTGGGGCCAATGGAGGTTCTCTTCCAAACCTTCCTCTACTAACATGTTGATCTACATAAAAATGAGCACCGGGCATTATTGAATGGGTGGGGGGTGGTTGTTGTTTTAATGAAAATGACAAAGGGTTTGTTGGAGGGGTGGTTGAGGAAGAAGAAAAAATAAAAGTTGAAATTGAATTGGGCTAAAAAATTAAAAAAATTTTTTTTAATAAAAGATTAAAAAAGGGAAGATTTTTTAGAGGAGATTTTCTTTTCTAAAATTAAATTTTGGAGATAATATTAGATAAATATTAAACTTAATTACAGGTTTAATGTTAAATAAAAAATTATTTATTTATTTACCTGTTCAATATTAAAATAATTATTATTTCTTCCTTCTCCTCTTTGCCTTTCCCAAGGATTTATCCAATTACTATTATGTACTTCTTCTAATGGTTTTGTTGTAATTAGAGTTTCTAATAAATCTTCTCTCCTCTCTATTGTTGGTTTTGTTGAGGAAAGTGCTAATTTAAGAGAATCGGTTACTTCAAATGGAGGTATTTGTTGTTGTTCTTCCTTAAAAAAGAGAAAAATATAAGAGAGAGAGAGATTCTAACAACAACTATAGGAAACTTAAACAAGTTTATTAAATCCAAGCTTAAGAAAATAAAAGATTAAATAACGTATACTTTCTTCTCGACTAGAATTCTAAACTTTTAATAATTCTCTTACTGATATTGAGGAAAAAAATGTTTTTTAATATTTTTTCCTCAACTAATTTATTTAAGACTTTTTCAGTCACTACCTTATTTTCTTCTACAATTAATTTTCTATTATTTCTGTCGTCCCAAGACGCATCTAAATACCGCCTTTCTTCAATTTTATTATTTTCTTCATTTAAAGGAATAGCCAAATTAAATAATGTTGAATTAAAGAATTGCTGTAATTCATTAAAATTATCAGAAATTTTCCTCAAATTTTTTAAAGAATTTTTTTGTTTTTTAAATCTTCCTTCTTCTTTTCTCAGTCTACTAGTAGCCTTTTTTCTGTTAATTGATAAATTGAGGAGATATGTGCTGTTAGAGCCTCCAAAAGTACTAAAAAAATAATTTAGAATTATTCAAAGCTTTCGATTAAACAAAATTTCAATCTAATTAACGCTTGCGTTATAAATTTACAATTAAATATTAAAAGCTAACAAGATGGAACGTCAGTTATCTCAAAAATTCTTTCTACCTTAAACACCTATCCGTAAATTTTTAATTTTTCAAACCCCTTACTTTATTAATTCTTTTTTATTTTCCAAATAATTCCCTCCTTCACTAAACATTTCCAATTTAGTTAATAAAGGATTTGTACTGAATTTATTAAAAATATTTGTTTTATTTTGAAGTGAACGTTTAATTAAATAATTTTGTTGTTGCTGTCTACCTTCAAAAAATTTTTATTTTTTTTAATGTTTAAAAAATTATTTTACCAATTATTATTTTATTTTCACAATTAGAAAATATTTGAAAATTAATTAATTGAATAATTAAAAATAATAAAAAATAAACATAATTATTTTTAATCATTACTAAATTTAAAATAAATCAATTTAAAAAAAATTTCTTTTAAAAAAGCCATGAGGTAAAAAAGAAAATCAAGCAGCGAAAGAGAGGGATTTTGAAAGTTACGGAAGACTTTTCTATAAGAATAAAAATAGTCAAAATGCAGGTGATCGCCCCTCATTCCATTTTTTACCTTATTTTATTCTTCTTCTTCTTGTCCTCTTTCCCACAATTCCTTTCTTGTAATTTTTTTAAAAGAAAATATACTCATCCTATTTTTTGCTTAATTTCCTCGAAATTGAGAAAAAAAATGAAAAAATTGTGTTAACTTTTAAATATTTTAAATAAAAAAAGGAGGAGAAAGAATAAAAAAGAGGGAATAATGGAAATTGAATATTTGTAAAAAGAATTTATTTAAATTGTTTTTAATTATTAATTTCCTTTCCTTGTATATTTTAACTTTAAATCAAAAACCTTTGAAAAAAAGGTTTAAAATAGGGACAGAATTTAAGGATTGACTATAACCAAAATTCTTTTTTTGGTATCTCCAGCTCAATTCCCCATCAGAGAAAATAAAAAGTGGTTGAAAATTTAAAAAATAATTTAAATTTTCTTTTAAAAAAGTGTAATTAAATAAACAAAATTTTCTGTTGAAAACATACAGGAGCTTTAAGGAGGCTAAAGGAAGATTTTCTGTCAAATATTTAATTTCTCCAAAAAAATTTCTCTTTCCTTAAACTAACAAAAAAGAGAGAATATTTAGTTGTATGTATTCAATCCTTTATTTTTAAAAATAAATATTTTTTCACTCATCTTTTTTCTTTTTAAATTAAAAATACTTTTTTCTTTGCGCAACTTTCTCCCCTACGGCTATACAAAATCTTTTTTCTTTTAATTTTTATATTTAATCTTTTCTTGTTCTTTAAAATACTCTTAAAATGTTCGTTTATTTTTTCTTTCCATTAAATATTTTTTAAGCTCGCGAGAAATTGGGGCGACAAATTGTGTAATATTTCCTAAATGTTTTTGAAGATGAGCTTTAAAAGGAGCTAAAGAAAGAATAGAAGAGAAAGTCTATCAAGTACATTGAGGGAAATTAAGCGATTAAAAAGAAGAGAGGGGATATTTTTTGTTTAGTAATTAAGTACTTGTTTATTTTAAAAATCTTTAATAGTTCTTTAATTACGCAAGAAATTTTTAAAAATTTATTTTGAGGATTACATACATATTTACAAAGAGCTAACACCTAAAAAGTATCTATTTTTAGAAATTTTTTAATAGACATTTAAATATGTAGGCTCACATCAATAACTACTGATGGTTTAAGGGTAATTTTATCGGATATTCGAAAATGTTGATCATTGACAAATATCAATAGTTTTTATTTTAAACCAAATTAGCAAGCATTTTATATATTACCCAATATTTTCAAAGCAATAAAATGTCTCGCGCTCAATCATAAAAATTTATTTTATTTATTAAAATGATTAAAACGTATACAAAATGCAATAAAAAAAGAGGGGACAATTACAAAAATGAGATTAAATTTAATTTTTTGGATTTTTTAAAGAATATTAATTAAAAAACTAATCTTTGATTAAAGAAAAAATATTAATTTTTAAAGACTAGCCAACTAATATATTTATTAGATATAAGTGGTTAAATAAAATAGAGATTGAATGTAAAGTTAAATTTTCTTATTAAAATTAATTAATTCCTCTCTTCAATCATTCAATCTCTCTAACAGACTTAAATACATATACATATATTTAAATATACACAATAATTAAGTAGATAAATGCCCACAAATTTAAGTAAATAGCAAAATAAATGGAGATAAAATTTAAAAAAAAGGTAAACTATGTAGTCAAAAATTTAAAAAGAGTTTTTGTTATAAAGGAAAATAAAATATTTTTAAGAGCATTATAATGAGAAGTTTGTTAAATAAATTGGGCAAAAAATTGGGAAAAATTATTTTGAAAAGCAATCCAAAACCGAGAATTAAGAAATAACTTATTTTAAATTTGGATTGCTTTAAAAACATTAAAGGGACAAGTTTAAGCACAAAAAATTATGAAAGCGCCGAAAAGTCAAAAAGTAGGTAGTATTTTTTTACTTTTTTAGAGTCAATCACATTGTATATATTTTTGATTAAAATTGAGAAAATTATTTTAATTTTAAAAAATTGAAGGAACTAAAGTAACAGAATCGAGGGGCTTTTTAAAAATAATTTTCTCATTTAAAAATAATTAAAATAAAACTAAAAGTCCAATTAATAGAGGCAAAAGAGAGGCAATCAAAACCAAAATCCACCTAATTGACCGTTGTTCAACGCCAGAATCTGTAAAGGAATCCCCGTTGTGTGATGTTTGAACAGAACGTTCGGATAGAGCAGAGGAAGGTTCAAAGCCTGTTGGCCCAATAAAAACATCTGTTCCATATAAAACCAATTCCCATTTAAGCAATTCAGCATCTAAAAGAAGAATTATTTTATTATGGAAGAGGTGATTATTTAAGTCAGAAACTTTCAAAACAAAAGGAATTGAAGTAGAACAAAGATTAAAAAAAATTTTCCCTTACCATCAAGTCCATCATTATCAATTTCCAAAGACCACGTTCCATAAGCACTTTCTCCCCAATTATGTGTAGTCATAAAAGCCCAATCTTTAAATCCTGTTCTACTCGTATCTCGCTGTCGTTTGGCTAAAAGAGTTGAACGAGTACCTTAAAATAATTTTTATAAATTGAAAAAAAAAACTTTTAAAAAACCTCTAGGACTTGTTAAATATATTTGAATATCCCCTCTTTTTGGTGCACTCAAAGTTACAATAGCCTGAACATGTTCCAAATATTTTACATGATTATCTCTTTTATCCGCACAAACATCTGTATATAATTGTAGATGTAGTCTGTTACCACGTGGAATTGTTCTATAAAAATTTAAAATTAAAAAGGAAGACTTTTAAAGGATTTTTGCTAGAAAATTTAGAGTATATTTTAATTTCCAACTATAAACTTCATTCAATGATTAAAAATCCATTTTTAACCAAATTCTGTTAATTTAAATTGTTCCGCCCCGTTATGATAAACTCTAACATTATTTTAAAATTAACAATTTTCTTTTTCTCTCTTCAATTTAATTATAAATTAAAAGAAACAAACTTGTAAGGATTTGGATATATTGCACGACATTTTTTTGATTTAGGCACATTTCTCCATACTTTTGCCAATCTAACCATAGCACCCGCATCAAGTAAACCATAACCAAATGAATGAGAAACATTTCTGCCAATTCCATTTAATCTCCAATCTCCAGCCCTCAGATTAACTGGTTTAGCTGTTCTCACAACAATATGCTTTAAAATTAAAAAGAATTACAAATTTTCTAAAGCATTTCCAAAAACCTGTAAATCCCTCCATCCCAAATTTCGATTAGCTTCTAAAGTCAAAGCAGCAATTCCAGCTGCTAAAGGTGCTGAAGCAGAAGTACCAGTGTGTGTTTTAGTGCAAGAGTCACGCAGATCCGTTGTTACAATCATCCGTTCACCAGAAGCACCACTTGAATAGGCTGTGGCTAAAGTTGAACTGCAAGCCTCAGAATACCTTTGAAAAAATTTTTGAATTAAAAAAATAATTTAAAATAAACCATGGAATATTGCCCCGTTCGGTAGCAGATGAGATTGAAAGGGTGTGAATTGAATTTGTATAGCCATCACAATTACAAGAATCAGCATCTTAAAGTTGAGGAAATTTTATTTTTTAAAATTTTATTAAGAAAAAAGATAATTCCCATAATTTGATCTAATAAATATAAAATCTCTAATGTTCTCTTCAAAAAATTAAACAAAAACCTTTTCCACCATTTCCTGATGCCCAAATAAAAATTGATCCTTTCCCTTGCCTTCCTTCAGTAATTCCTCTTTCAAAAGCATTTTTAGTTAAAGTTGCAGGGCCATCAACTGTTCGTCTAAAAATTCCAAATAATTTATTTAAATTTTAAATAAATACCCATCATCATCCGGACCCCAGCTTGCCGAATAGATATCAATATGTTGAGAATTGTGGCTAAGGGAGGTAGCTTCTACAGCATCGGTAACATCACCTGAGAGGTTTTAGAATTATTTAAAATAAATTTAGGAAATAAAATCTATTTTAGGGTCTCCGATAAGAGGCTGATTCTATCCCAAAAAAAGTAAAAATATATACCATCCAACATTCGAATTCCTCCAATTTTTGCATTAAAAGCGATTCCAACAACACATAATGAATTGTTAAAGACTGCAGCTACTTCCCCAGCACAACGTGTTCCATGCCTATTTTCATCTGCATAATCATATCTCGGCATTGGATCTTCATCTCTATCATTTACATCATAGGAAGCATCTGGATCATAGTTTGCTGCCAAATCGTGATGTGTTCGTTCCAATCCATCGTCTAGAATTGTAATAACAACTCCACGTCCAGTATAGCCTAATGCCCATGCTTCTTTTACATTATGGTCCATTTCATCTGGTTGGTCATCTCTTCGGTGCAAATACCTAATTGTATAATAATTTAATAAGAGAATCCTTTAAAATAATTTTTAAGAATTTTAATTAAATGATCGATTATCAAATCGAAAAATTTAAAAAACAATCTCAAAATGATAGAGTTCCTAGAAAAATAAATATGACGTCACACCGTTAATTCCTAAACTCACATACTTAAAATTTTCAAAAAAATCACTTACCACATATCCTTCCAAAATGGATCGTTTGGCACAGAAAACTTCATTCTAGCATAGTAAGCCCTATCTTGTACTCTATTCATGTCTAAAAAATCATCTCCAGCCATAAAATAATCCTCTTCAATTTCTCCATTTCCACCATTATTTTCAACATAATCAGCATGTTGAATAACAGAACCATCAGCAATTATTGGCTTTAAAATTGGAATATTGACAGAAGATATTCCTGGAGGTCTTCTTCCACGAAGTAGTGAAGGAGAATGAATATTTTGATTTAATTGGTGAGGGGATAAAGGAGCGAGAAAATCTCTTTTTACACGTTTTTTGACAACTTGTTGTTCTAACCAAACAACCTTTAAATTAAAGAAAAAATTATTAGAAAATTTTAAAATAAAAAAATACATTTTCTTCTCTTGTTATAGACGAGTGTAAATGACGCCGAACTTTACGTAGAGACCTTTTTCCAAGTGTACGGCTTTCAAATAGGAAGAACTCTCCACCGGGAATTACCTTAAAAATTTATTTAAGTAATATAGAAAAAGAAGAAATTTAAGTTGGCAAAAATTATTTAAAGTCGAAGACAGACTGGAGGGACAAAAAAGGATACCTTAGGTAAGCTAAAATGCATATCTAAACCATATAAGTTCCCTAATTTTAAATAAATTTCTATCCTAGATGACTTTGACAGAATGATAGTTTGCTTGAATAAAAAAACTTACTGGACCCAAATTTCGAAACCCGTATTTAGAGGCAAGTTCATCAGCTTGTTCTTGATGACCGCCTGCAATTCTTACTGCCCACTGATTTGTATAAACACGTTTAGGAACGAATGTTTGTTGTTGAGAATTTACTAAAAAAACAAAATTTAATTTTAAAAAATTAAAAATAAAACCTGATTCCTCTCTAATTAAATTATCCTCAGCTAAACAAAAGGAATGTTGTTGAAAAATAAACAAAAATATAAAAAGCAAGAATGTTAATTGATTTAATGTTGATCTCCTCCATCTTGCAGAAATTTGTTTTTTTCTTTTGTGAATTTCTTTTTGACTTCTTTTTAATGAAGTTGAAATTATTTTCTAAAAAAATTATGAAAAAAATTAAAAAAAGATAAATGGGAGAATAGCGGTATCGAACCATCACTTAAATGAAAGAGCAAACACAACTCACTAACCACTACACCAACAAACTTACTCATACTTTTTTTTTTATACTTTATTGATATAAAAAAACTAAAATTTAAAAAGACAAACCAAATTAGTAAATAAATCATTAAATTCTTGATCATGTTGAGAAGAAAATTTAAAAGGATTGGAAAGTCTGTTAAATATATCTGTTGTTCCGTTCTTGTCCAGTGAAATTGATTGCCCTAAATTAATTTTTAAATTTTTTTTCAAAAAATTCACCAAACCGTTTAGAGAACAGGGAAATTCTGAACTAACAAAAATTCTTTTAGAAGAAGAGTCAGAATTATTTAAATTATCTTTATTAAAATAACAATCATCATCTCCAAAACCTTTGAATATCCTGCTGCATTCTTTCTTTTTTCCCATTCAAAGGGGGAAAACTAAAAATTAAAAAATCAAATAAATTTATTTAAAAATCCTCTTTAAAAAAATTTTTTTAGAATTTTTAATCAGCTAAAAGGGAAAGAAAAAATAGATAAATTATAAAGTAATAAATATATAAAATTGAGGAATTTAAGGACGTAGAAGATAACAGAAAAAGAAATTATAAATTTATTTGTTTTAATATTTCCGGTAATTAAAAGAATATTTATTTAAATTAAACATAGATCAAAAATATTGAAATAAAAAAATGTTAAAGATTTTAATTAAATATAAAAACTATTTACTAAGTCTGAGAGTTACATACATAATTGCATGTTCAATTAAATAAAAAAATAAAATTGAAAAAAAGTAGTTGAGGGGTAGTGCTGGTTGCTTAAGAGGAAAATTTTTTTATTGGACACTTTCTGTGGGAAAGTATACATATATGTATTAAAAAATTCTTCAACAGAAACTTTAATGCCGTCATTAAAAAGTATATATATTAATTTAAAAATCCCCCGTCACTAAACTTTTTTTAATCTAAATAACCGAGGGAAAAAGAAGAGAAAATTTACTTACTGTTTAACAACCACTTTTTCCAAAACATAAAATTAATAAAAAAATAATCCTTTTTTTCAAAAAAAAATTAACAAATTAAAATTCTTTATTCAATTATTCTTTTTAGTATTTCATTTTACTTTTATTTTAAATATTTTCTACGGCACAAATCAATAAAACAATTAATTTAGTATTGGAGGGGGGGAGGTAGTGGTGGTGGTTGCTTGAGAACAACCCCCTCTTCCCCTCCCTCTCCTTTTTTCTCTCTTTTTTTAATAAATAAATACACCAATTCCCCCTCCTCCAGTCCTTCACCAAAGGCAAAAGAAAGGATTGGGGGATATAGGGTATATGTGCTTCTCAAATAGATATACATATACCTCCATTACTTTTTTAAAAACAAATCCTCCCTCACATAAATATTTTGTTAAACAAATCCCTCGAGTCTCAAGTACGTGTAAGTAAATCCAAAAATATTAAAATAAATAATATTGGAAACCCCATGTGCCTTTTATAGAAAATAAAAATATTTTTTTTTGCAAATTTATTAAAAAAAGTTAATAAACAAAATCTAAAAATAAACAAAAAAATTTTAAATAAAAATTTTAAGAAAGCTTTAAAAACAGAAAAGAATAGTGGGAACGTGAATTCAAAAAATTCCTTAATGTCATTTAGTTTTAAAAAACTTAGCGATAATTTTCAATCATAAATTTCCCAACAAAAAAAGTCTTCTAATTTTTAATAAGAAAATAAAATTAAAATTAAAAAAAAAATTTTCAAAATTGTAACAATTTTTTAGATTAATTTAAATAATTAAAAGGAGGTGGGGGCTACTTTTCCGTCATTAAAAAAAAGTTAAATTCCCATTCAAATACTTTAAAAAAACCAAACATCCGGGACGCCAAAGGGAATATAAACTTTAAAAGAATGGGAAAAAATGAGGGCAAATGGAAGTGTCAATAAAGAAAAACTTTAAAAGAAAAAAGAAAGGAAAGTAGTAGAAAGTACAAATGAACTTGAAAAATAAAGAAAAAAAATTGGTTTAAAAAATAAAAAAAAAAGGAAAGATAAAGGAAAGATAAAGGGAAAAAACAAAGGGTTTAAATTAAATATAGAAATATAAAATAATTTTAAACAAAAATAAAAAAAAACAAATATTTCTCTGCCTGTAAATTATGTATCTAATCAGACGTGAGGAAATTATACAAAAAAAAATTGTGGAAATAAAAATATTTTTTCCTTTATCAACAAATAAATATTTATTTGTCTCGTTAAAAAGTAATGATAAAATAAATTGTAATCTTTTTAGTATTTATGATAAAAAAAGAGAAAAAAGAGGTTAAGTTAAGTTTATTGTTTAAATATTTTTATGAAGGAAATATTGGACAATAAAACAATCCCTGGGGAGAGAAAGGAAAGGAAAGAATAAACATGGACATTAAATTCGAGGATTTTGAGATAAAAATGAAGTAAAAACCCCTTAAATTTAAGTCAAGTAAAATAAAAAATAATTATTTTAATTAAACAACTTTTACCTAAAAACAACTTTTACCAACTTTTACCTCCTTCTCTGTAACTTTTTATTAAAAAACATTCTTTTTTCAAAAAAAAAACTCTTCTTCCTCTTCCCTTTTAAGTAAAACTTAATGCATTCCATCGCCTTTAAAAAAACATTTTTTCCTTCAACCACTAAGTAAAAAATTCCCCAAAAAGTTTCAGGCCCCCGTCCAAATGAAATTACTTTTCCCACGCCTCTTACTTTTAAGAGACAGACGTTGAAATTCTGAAAGCTAATAAAAAAAGTTTGTTTTTTTTTGTTTGTATACACATGTCATTAATGAAAAAAAGAAATAAAATATAAAATATCCAGAATTTTTTTGAAGGTAAACGAAATAGAAAAAAAGGTATTTTATTTAATACCAAGAAATTTAATTAAATTATCTGTAACAAAACTAATTTTTTGGAACACAAACTAAAAAATTGTAAATAGAAGTGTATTGATTATATTGTGGATTCGCTTAGGTGCTCCCCACCCCCTCCCCCCTCACCCAGTGGCTAAATAAAGTTTAAAAAATTGAGGAAGTTGAGATTTAAATATACAGTTTTGCTACTGTACAGTGAACTTTTGCTCACCCTATTTTTGGGTGTAAAATATTATAAGGGTAGAATATAAAAATATGCGAAACTAATTAGAAACATCTAGTGTCATTTTATAGAGGACACTTATAGTTAATTAAAAAAAAAGTTAATCCCGACGATTCACTGATAAATGAAAGAAAAATTATTGATCTGCTTCTTTAAAACAAAATGTTCCAAACTTTTATATGTACAAACATACATATATAGTCAGTGCTAACAATTTCAATTACAAAAGAAAATTAAAAATACTAATTTAAAAAAAAGAGAAGAGTGAGTATCATAAAAAAATTGAAGGAAATAAAAATAAAATGAACAGAAAATAAATAAATCTGTTAATTTAAAACCCCCAAACTGCCAAACAAATTGAGTTGAAACATCAAAAATGATTTAAAGACTGACAAATTTTTGCAGATTTTAAGTAATAAAAAGAAAAATCAAACAAAATTTTAGAGAAAAAACGGAACTGGAAATAAATAAAGAGAGACAACAAATAATAAAACAAAAGTAAAAGTTAAAAACAATGAAAAAATGAATAAAACAAAGAAAAGAACGTTAGAAATAAATGTTATGTAGATGCTGACTTTTAAAATAAATAGAATTATAAAAATTTATAAAAGATATTTCAAAAAATTTTAGATTTTAGTAGAAGTAATTAGGAAATTATAACAACATACATAAATCCCTTCTACCCCAGACAGGAAAATAAAAAAGTCGAGTATATCTACTTATTTATTCTATTTATAAAACTAGTTTTTTTTCTACAAAATAAATATATTTATATATTTATTTACAATAGATTATTACCTCCCCTCTATCCTCGTTTTTAATCCAAATATTAATTCTTCCTTTCCTTTTACAAGAAAATTGGGCCAATAAAGGGAAAAGATAAGAGAAAATTTAGAAAAAAATGAGGAAAAGTGACGGAACATAAAATAAAAATTAAAGGTAATTAAAAGAAAATAGGTATAGCCAAATATCCCCCCCCCTTCCAACAATCCTTTCCCCTCCTTCAAATTTTTCTATTTTCGTAAAATATACAAAGAATGAGTATATAATTGTTGGAATAAATAATGGATTAAAGCGACTTTCAGACGCTGCTGGAAGTTTTAAATGAGGTTGGAAAGTTGGAAAGAAAGTGGAGAAAAAAGAATTTCTTTAACGACTTTTCTATTTTTGAAGTTCTTTTTTATTTATTTTTTTAATCCAAGGAAAGCTTTTTGAAGTTTTTAAGCCTTAATTGAAATAAAAATTAAAAAATTATTTCCTGGTTTAAAATTGAAATAAATAGAAAAATGAAAGAAACGTTAAAATATTAATGTTGGTAATAATTGATTGGGCATTCTTAGATGTTTAAACAATTTTCCAGAAAGTGTAGGAAAGAATTCAGAAAGCAAATCAAAAGTTACAAGGGAAATTTCATACAAACAAAACGAACTTGTTTAGGTATTAGAGATGTCACAGGTTGAGAAAAAGCCGTATCGGATTTTCAGAATTTTCTTTGGATCGGGTTTCGGGTAACCCGTGAAATCCCTGGTGTATGATAAATGGATGGATGGAACCTTTTTAGCTTTTAGATAAGGATTTTATTTTAATCCATTTTTATTTTGCAGAAGCTAAACATGTAAAATATAAAAATTTATAAATTGTTTATCAGAAAGATTCCCTTATAACCTGTAACACCCAAAATCTTCTTATTTTCATGGTCAAAGGCTCTTATTATTGGGTGCTTCTTTAGTGCATAATTTACTTTAAAGTGTGTCTAAAAATATATTTATATTCTCAAGTGGAAAGTCCACCAACCAAAAAAAAAGAAAAAAAGGTCGCGACAACAATTCGAGTGATGAATCAATGGAAGGAAAGCGGAAATGCGGGGATTTGAAGAAAAAAGAGTGGGAGAAATCTGTCATTTTTGCAAGTCTTTTGCATACTAAATCGAAAAAGGGGATGGGGAAAGATTTTGAAAATTAAAAAAGTAAAGTTGCAGAAAATGTAAATTTAAAAAAGAGGAAAATGAAGAGAGGTTTTGTAGGAGAAATTAAAAAATAATTTAAATAAAATTATAGGAAGCGGGGAATATTAGCTAGTAAAAGTTATTATAGTCAGAAGAAGTTGTAAAATTGTAAAAGATAAATCGAGATTCTACGAAAAAAACTTCTGGTAATTCTTTTATCTTTTTTTTCTCCAAAATCATAAACGAATTCTAAAAAACTTCAGCTAATTAAAAAAAAATATTTCCGGGTCATTTACTTTTGAGAATAACTTAATAAATAGAACATTCTTCCAAATTATAATCATTCTTCAACTACTCCCTCCCTCCCTCCCCTCCCCCCTTCTGTATTTATTCTTTTAATAACATTCAGTATTCACAGGTCATCTAAAAACTTCCCCTTCCTTTCCCTGTAGTTGCTCATTCGTGCATTCAACCACTTCAAGTAGTTTTAATTCTTTCGTGTTTTTAATTGCTAAAGGAAAAGAGAAAATAATAAAATTAAATCTTTTTTTAAAATAAAAAAAGAAAGGAAATGGTCAAAGATTAAATAAAAATGATTAAAGTTTTAAAAAAATTGAAAAGTAATTTTTAGGATTGTTTGGAAATTGGTTTGCAGGGAGATAAGGGAGAAAAAGTTTTTATTTAAAAAAGTATTTTGATTTAATAATTTTTGATTTGAAAAATTTCTCTTTAAATTGTTTTCAATGTTAATTTGAATCTAAATAATTAAATTCAAAAATTTCTATCTACATATATAGATTAAATAAATCCCCCAAGAAAATATTTAAATAATAAAAATGATTTATTATTTGTTTATCTCGTCAGAAGACCTATTTAACTCTTCTAAAATGACAGAAAATTAATGTTTGTGTGTTTTGTTTTTCTTTTAAAAATTAAAAGATTAATAAAATATGCAAATTAAAAAAGAAAGAAATTTAAATCCAAAAAAAAATATTTTAAAATTTTTAAAAGAAAAATGAAGCCCCAAATAAAGAAGAGAATTGTGAGAAAATATTTAAATGAACAAATGAGAAAAAGAGAATAATTAGTCACAAGTTTTAATTTAAAAGAAAAACAATTAAAATATAAGCTGATGATGAATAAATAAATAAATTTTTCGTTTTGTTAAAAATAGGAAAAAAAATTTAAAAAGTATTTATATTTAGAAGTGACATCATTTAAATTTAAGAAAGAATTATGTTTGCCTTAAATAATTTAAAAATAAAAAAAATATTTAAAATTCTTAAAAAAAATTTTTTTCTATTATTTAAGAGCATTTCAAACAAAATTCTGTTCCAAAAGTTAAAAATTATTTCGACAAAAATTGTAATTGAAGATAAGAAAATTAACAGATGAATTTCACATTATTTTAAAAAATTACAGAAAAAGGGGGGGGGTGAGGGGGGGGGGAGGGCTAATTCTTTAATAAACTAACATTTTTTGGTAAATTAAAAAAGTTAAAGATAAGAGAATTAATTTCACATGCCTCGAAAGTCTCCCAATTAAATTTAAACATTCCACCATTTTAAATTCCTAAAAAAATATTTTCAATTACTCAAAGCTTAAAAAATCGTTTTTTTCTTTCAAACATTAATAAAAAACCCTCCACCAGTAACAAAAACTGTCGTGGTTTTTGACTGAATTGTTTTAAAACTTTAGTGCTACCCCGTGCTTTTGACCTATCAGTTATTTTGTCGCGGCCAAAAAGATGAATTACTTTACAAATAAATAAAGGTGTCAATTGTCAACACACCATTTTATTTTTTATTTCAAGAAAGAGAAAAAGGAAGTAAGGGAGGGAATTTATAAAAAAAACTTAGAAGACAAAAAAATATTACAAAATATAAAAATGATTTAGAATTTATTTTAAATTTTTTATTTTGAAATTTTTATTAGTCACCAACTTTGAGAATTTGGCATGTCCCAAAATGTTTTAAAAAAATATTTTTTCCTCAAGCTTAGAGTGGAAACAAGAAATTAAAGAAAAAATTTGGGAGAGAAATATAAAATGGTTAAAGAAATCTATGGCGATAAGAACCTCCTTAATTTCTTTAAAAAAGAAGCAAAATAAAAGGAAAATGGGGGAAGATAATCAGAAGTACCAATTTTTAATTGTATTTTTGTAGTAATATATTTGAAAAAATTTCCACTATGTACTTATAAATTAAACTTTTTGTATTTCAACTTAACATTTTCTCGATTAAGGCTTGAATACAGTATACACAATTGAGAGTGAATAAATTCGTCCTCAAATATCCAAATTTAAAAGCGTACAAGGACGTTTCAGTTCAGCATTTTGCGGGATTATCGATACATGACGAATAGGCGCGGCCGAATAGGCGCCGAGACAAATAGGCGCGGGACGAATAGGCGCCCGAAGTAATTCAGGCGACCAAACGGTTTTGCAAAAGTTTTTTTTGTAATTTTATTATTTTTTAAATTTTTTTGTCTTTTACAGAAAAGAATGTTTTGTAATCGTGAAATTGACACTAAAAATGGGAATAAAAAGTTAAATTATGAGGGTAGACTTTATATATTTGATAAACCAAATAGTGATGGAACGATTAAATTTTGGAGATGTGAATTTAAAAATGGAATTGAAAAATGCAAAGGCCGTATATGGACTACTTTGGAGGATGAATTTGTTCGTATGGTTACTCAGCACACCTGTGAACCTAATCCAGCTCGAATTGTTGCGCAGGAAGTGAAGACAGGAATGAAAAGACGAGCTGTGGAAACTATGGAGCCACCGACAGTCATTCGTTCACACGTCTTAGAACACACAAATTCACCAGCTTTAGCTGAAGTTCCTTCCAAACAAGTTATTTTTTCTAGAAATTTTTTTCTGAGATTTTGTTCTGATTTCTTGTTCTGATTTTTTTATTCTTCTCCAACTTCTAAATTCCTCAAAATTTTCGCATGCGGCGCTAAGAGTAGAGTATTTAAATACCAATTTTCCATCAAGGAAAATCCGTCAAGGAAAATCCATCAAGGAAAATCCGCAGTCGCAACCCTCAGTCCTCCGCTATCTCCCCACTCACTCGACACCCGTCACTCGACATACAACTTACATGTATCACAAAATCAGAACAAAAATATCAGAACAGAAAATCAGACCAAAAAAATCAGAACAGAAAATCAGAACAAAACAGAAAATCAGAAAAAAAATCAGAACAAAAAATCAGAACAAAATCAGAATCAGAATAACAAAATCAAAATCAGAATAATCAGAAAAGTAAATCAGAAAAAAATTTTCTAGGAAAAAATAACTTGGGGCGCCTATTCGTCCCGCGCCTATTCGTCTCGCGCCTATTTGTCTCGGCGCCTATTCGGCCGCGCCTATTCGTCCGCGCCTATTCGGCCGCGCCTATTCGTCCTGCTCCGGGGATTATTCCCGCGGGAGTTACTCCCGCATGCTGGATCCCGCAAATGCAATTTTTCCAACCTATGATTTTTTCAATTAAATTTTACAGATTTATTTATTTAATTAAAAATGGGAAAAAATAAGAACAAGAATAAGCAAAATTCGGCAGGAGGAAACAGATTTGGTTCTGGGCCGTTTAATAAGAAATTTAAACAAGACAAGCCAATGAATAACAATCAAGGAATGAAAAAGGATAAAGGCGCTGTTAATGGCGGTAATAAAAGAGGAGGTTTTAATAAAAAGAAAGCTTTTGATGGGGGAGATAAATTTGAAGGGCGTCTGATGAATGAAAAGTTTGGAGGTATGTTTTTACGTTTTTAGTAAGAATTTTGTTTTTCTAAGTTTCAGTGAAGAAGGATGGTAAGAATGAGAATACTGAAGTTTCAAACTTTCAAAAGCAACGCCCTAAGGAAAATAAAATGAACAAAGATGGCTTTTCGGTTGTTGTTAATGTTTGTACATTATTTAAATATTCCATAATTTTTTAGCAACCTAACAAGGACTTTGGCCAAAAGACTACTCCAAATACGAGTGTTTCATCTATGGGGAAAGGTTTTGTTAAATCGTTCTACTTTACTTTATTTTTTAGAAAGTCCCAAAGAAGCATCTGGAAAAAAGAAGGTTAAATTCGAGACTGATTCTTCTGAAAGGAATGAGCATGTTAAAAATGATTTGGTTATTAAAGGAGATGCTCAGGCAAAGCGTTTTGGTATGTCTGTTTTTTTATTACTGTTTACCCGGTTACCATTCTGATGCTTTTATGTAGTTACTGACATTTTTATTTTGCCGGATTAATATAAAACATTTTTGCCGTTCTTTCAGGTAGTCCTCGTGAAACTCCTCCTTCAAAGCGAGTCAAACTCGAGACCTTAACCAACTCTTTCAGTAAAGACAATGAATTAAACGGCAATGCTAAAAAGGATACAAATGTCAAAAAAGATGGAAATGTCAAAAATGATATTGGAGGGAAAAAGGACACGAAATCAAAAAGTTTAGGTTTTTTAACGTTATTTTGAAACTTTTCATTTTAAATTAAGTCAAATCAAATGTTGTTTTCGACGAGAATGGCAGTATTAAGGACTCGGACATGGAAGATGAATCTGATTTGGAAGATCTTGAAGATGAAGATGATGGCGAGTTTTTGGGTCTTGAAGATTCTGAGGATGGTGAAGATGATTCTTTGATGGATGAGGAGGACGATTCTTCGATTTTTGATGAAGAGGAAGATGAAAAGAGTGATCCTGACACTTCGCGAGGTTTTTTACACTATTTTGGAATTGTTAAATTTTTCAAAAAAAAATTTTTTTTAACTTAAATATTTTTAATTAAGAATTGGTCGACTTAAACATTACTGGGTATAATATTTCTACAAACACTTCAAATTGTATTGTTCTCAATGCACAGAAGGATTATTCTACAGCTGCAAACCCATTTAAATTATTCAAATTCTCTGCGGATACTGAACATTCCGTTCAAGTTGGATTGAAAGTTTTGCAATGGATTCTGAGCCCAATTGTGACTGATACATTTTTCAAGTTTTTAAATTTTACCTCTAATTATCTTATATTTTATCATTTAAAGTGACATCTTGCAAAAACGAGTTCTTGTTTTGAAACGCGCTACAAATGCTTATTTTGATGGATTCTTTAATATTGGGGATTTTAAGGATATGCTTAAGAATGTGAGTTTATTTAAAAATGTCCTCCTTCACTTTTCATTTTAAGAATAATGTTCTCTATGGAAAGGATGTTAATGTTGCCAGTTATGTTTCTGGTGTTAGACAAACCCATAATCCATTAAAGAAAGAGATGCAACGCGCTACAATCACGAATGCTCTGCAACATTTTCAAAATGGACGATCACTTCAATGTGTTCATCCTCAAGTTTTTAATGACAAAATTTGGTATATCTGTGATGCTCTTCAAGAAGTTTTTTGTTCTTATGTTGGAGCTAACAAGTTTTTTAAATTCTTTTTTGTTTTTATTCATTTTTAAAGTTATTTAACTCCTGCTGGAACTGCTGGGTTTGCTCCGCATTATGACAATATTGATGCTTTTATTTTGCAAACTGAGGGCCGTAAACATTGGAAAATTTATGCACCGGAAAGTTTGGATGATACTTTGCCTCTTGAATCAAGTGATAATTTGAATGAATCTGATTTTATGGAACGTGAACCAGTTTTTGATGGATGGTTGGATCAAGGGGATGTTCTTTATGTGCCACGGGGATTTGCTCATCAGGTTCTTATTTTTGATCTCCAATTAATTTTTTTTGTTTTTAAAGGCCAATACTGGTCAAGACAAACTTTCTCATCATGTCACTATTAGTATTTGCCGTAAATTCTCTTATGCCCATTTCTTTGAAAAAGCATCAAGCGAATTTATTTTATTAATGACGGAAAAATCAAAACGTTTGAGAGGCGCACTTCCTCCACATTTTTTTGATATGTGTGGTATGGCTGATATTGCATATCCTAATGAAGACTCATTGAACAATAAGTTTTTTTAAAACATTTTTAGCCTTTTAATTATTAAATATTTCAAGACTTATTCCATATGCCAAAATATTTTCTCAAAAATTCGCTTCTGACTTTTCAACTTATATTCCAGCATTTATCGATTTGATGGCTAAGGATTTCATGAAAACTGCACTTCCGCCATTTTTAAGCCATGAAGAGCTTAAACAAACATGTATCGGAGGAGGTGGTTGTGACAACTTTCTTGAAAAAGAGAAACATCCACTTATTGGACCAGAGACTGAAGTTCGTTTTGCACGAATGCATGGACAAAGGCAAATTCAATTAAATTTTGTTTTATCCTTATTTTAAATTTTTTAGATTAATTTATGAAGATGAAGGTACTGCCTGTATTGTGCATCGTATGAACAATTCTCGGCGTTATGATGAAAACAAGGAAGAGCTGACTTTTGATTTTTCTACTGAGGTTTTTTTAGTTTTTAAGATTTTGATGGTGTTAGTGTAGATTTGCCCTTCACTCTAGTTTTGGTTTTTTCTTCTCGCGTTTATAACCACTCATTCTTATAGAGGATGAAGGGATGAGTGAGTAAATTAGGGAGGGAAATTAGGGAATAAAATATATTTTTTTAAGTTGGAGAAAGGATACATAACTTTATGTAATTCTTATCCAAAATGGAAAACTGTTCAGTCTTTGGGTTGTGCTTCGCTAGAGAAAAATATTGAATTGGCAACTTTGCTTTTTAATAATTGCGTGCTTATGTTACGTCAAAAGGAGAAGAAATAAGGTTTTTGAAAAGAATATTATTTTGATTGTTAAAGTTTCTATTGGCCTCTTATTTTTTTGTTTTAGTTTAATTGGCTATTGTTAAATTTTTTTGAGTTTAATTAAATAAAAAAATTTTTGATTTTTGCCAAAAAGCCGCAGTGCAAGGGGTAAGTGGTTTAGGGGCACACTCCGATGTACCGCGAGCCCAATGTACCGCCAAGCTATAACATTGTTCAAAATTGTCGAATCCGTGGCGCCCTGATATGGTTCGATGCAGATCGACCAGCTTTATCGAACCATACCATGGCGCCACGGATTCGACAATTTTTAACAATGTTATAGCTCAGCGGTACAGTGGTCTCGCGTACACTGGCCTGCTCCCGTGGTGTGGGAGTGTCTGTGTGCAAATTAGAAAAATATTATCAATATTTTTAACAAATCAAAATTTTTATTTAAAAAATAATTCAATTACAAAAATAATTTAAGTCCGAAAAAATATTTGGGAGAGATCCATTTATAAGTGTGGCAATATTCAAAATGAACCCGCCTTAATAACTAAAGGCAGAAAAGATATTAAATTTTAATGAAAGAGAGGAATGTTTTGTCAAAAATAACAGAAAGTCTTGATTTAACATAAATAAAACATGTTGAAAGAAGAATAATTATACGACAAAGTTCAATTAAAGTTCAATTAATTAACTACGACAAAGTTCAATTAAATAAGAATGGATTCTTTTGATAATATTGACGATGAAATCGACGTAGAAACATAATCAGATGGAGAAGGATCGTCAGTAATCCTTAAGATCATTGGTCCCTAATAAAAAATTAGTAAAAAATGCTCCGGTATTTTTGAGGCTTGCCAGTAGGTAATCGAGTGTGCTGAATCCGGATCTCAACTTAGAATTTGTTTATTTCTAATCCCGGACCGCAAATTCGACCAAGTTGAATTTGCGGTAAAAATTCAAAATTAGATGTTTAGGGCTTTTCTTACTCAGCTCTATGTTTTGATAACTTTAAACGAAATTATGTTTGATTTGTACATATTTATATCTTTATCTTTTATTATAAGCGTTTATTTAATTGATCATAATTTCGTTTAAAGTTATCAAAACATAGTCGAAAAGCACCAGAATTTTATGAAAAAGCAATAGTAAGTTGTCTTATTAGTCATTTCATTAAAAATTTTAATTTTTACATAGGTTAATTTATTGTTTACGTCGAAATAAACTCGTGCCAGGAGATATTTCGGCAAATTATGTTTATGCTTTCAATAAATTTACTTAAAAATTTAAAAAATTTTTGATAAAATTTGAAATAGTTGATATCGGAAAATAGAATGACCCACTCTATGTATTTGAATGAACTCTCTAATTGAATGACAAATTTCTGAGGTATTGAAAAATAGAATGACTGTCATTCAATTAGAATAAATACGATAGTTGAAAATTAAAATTAAAAAAAAAATTTTTCAACATTTATAAAAATGAAAAAAAAACCTGCTTAACCTCTATGTTGGTGACAGGAAATTGGATTGCAAGCAAATTCCCACAAAAAATTCATTCCTGCATGCAGGATTTGGAACATTTTAAATTAAAAAATGAAATTTTTAAATTAAATCCACGGGACTCAATTGAGGTATATACAAGGGGGACTCAATCGTGCGGACTCAGTTGAACTGCTCCGAAGACAAATTAAACGGGGTGAGGGGCAAAACCAGGAATTCCAAAACACGGAACAGACAGAACACGGAACGACAAAACACGGTCTTACCAAGACACGGAACGACCAAAATACGGACCATACCAAAACGAGGAACAGACAAAACACGGTCTTAACAAAACAAGGAACGGTCAAAAGGCGGAACGACCAAAATACGGTCCAGAGAAATAATAATTCTTTATGATTTTAAAATATTTTAAATATTATTAAAAGATGATTATTCAAAATGATAAAAATTTTAATTCAAAATATTTTTAAAAATCAGAATTTTTCAATTTTTAAAATATTTCTGATTCTTAAAGAATTTTTATTTTAAAAAATTCAGATTTTGATTAATATTCTGATTTAAAAAAATTTGATTTTAAGAATTATCCTGATTTCAAAAAATTCTGATATTAAGAAATATTCTGATTTTAAGAATATTTTTGATTTAAAAACCAGTATTTAAAATATTTTTTTGATATTTAAAATATTTTAAAAATTGTCATTCACTTGAATTCTTGTTCTTTTCATTTCTTCTGGAATATTAATTTCTTGACGAGATGTTGGATTTATAATAATTTTTTATAGGCAAATTTGAATAGGCAAATTTGAAAAGGTATATTTTTCCTCTGGACCGTATTTTGGTCGTTCCGCCTTTTGGTCGTTCCGTGTTTTGGTAAGACCGTGTTTTGTCTGTTCCTCGTTTTGGTATGGTCCGTATTTTGGTCGTTCCGTGTTTTGGTAAGACCGTGTCTTGTCCGACCGTGTTTTGTCGTTCCGTGTCGTGTCCGTTCCGTGTTTTAGCCCGACACGAATTAAACGTTTTCCAATAAAATGTCAAATCCATAAAATGTCGAAAATTTTGAACCCTTGTATCTCGGCATTTTGAACCCTTGTATCTCGGCTTGGAGTCGCCGACCCATAGGTTTACGTTGTTTGTTATTTGTATCGTAACTTTGTACAAACTTGTTAGAACAAGTATTTATATTTGAACTTTTGACATTTTTGGTCCTATGATTTTTGACCATTTCGATCCCGATATCTCACCCCAAAGTTGCAAGCCCCAAATAATTTTGGTACCATTCAACTCAGCTCGTCGAGCTCTTTCGAATGACATATATTTTGTCCATTTTTGTTCCCGGTACGTATTGTAAAGTTTTTCCCAAAATTTATATAAAATTAATTTATTTTTGTATAATACATATGTAGGTACATTAGGTACATATTACGTAGCATTAATGTTGGGAACAAAGAAAAATTGAAAATTTTTGAAACTCCAACAAAAGAAAATTTTTGAAACTCCAACAAAAGAAAATTTTTGAAACTCCAACAAAAAGAAATTTTTATAATTTTAAATAAAAATTTATATTTTTTAAGTATTAAATTCAAAAAAGGCACATGAGAAAATTTTTAAAAAATGCACAAGAGAAATTAAAAATGTACAAATTCTTTTAAAAATTTCACCTTCTCTTCTTTTTAAATAAAATTTTGTATACATATATTCTTTGTTTTAATAATTTTATTTTTGTTGGCGACATGCTTTTGCCCGTAAATGTTTACTTAAATAACTTTTTAATTTAAATGCCTTTCCACAATGTACACAAACAAATGGCTTTTCTGCTAAAAAATTGAAAAAAAATAAATTTACTAAATTATTTTACGTCGATGAGTTTTTTCGTGTGCACGACAATTTGAACGATCAGCAAAAGAACGAGAACAGCCAGGCCATTCACATTTAAAAGGTTTTTCTCCATCTAAAAACAAATTACCGTAAATCCTCTAAAATAGACCCCGGGGCTTATTTTTTTCGATCGACCTCTAGAGGGGGCTTATTTTAGAGGGGGGGCTTATTTTGGAGGGGGGCTTATTTTTTTTTGATGTCTAAATTTTTGAAAAACTAAAATTTATTACCAAACATTTAGAAAAAATTTTCTAAAATTCAATAAAATTCATCCCTTTACTAAGTCTCTTCAAGAAAAACCTTGTCCAAAACTCATCAAGTACTCTGTCAATTGATCCTTCAGCTAAGATATGACTTTAAGTTGGAGATATCGGAGGATTAAGGTGAATATTGAGACTTTTAGAGGGAGCTGAGATCCAACAAAATCCCCGGATATCCGTTCAAACCATCTTAATCCAATGAACTCACGATTAATCATTGAAATACTGTTAATCACCGAAATTTCTTATTCTCTTAATCTCCAGAAGTCCCTTTTAATCCCCCCGATATGCTTCCTAATCTCCCCTAATCTTCACTATCCATATATATCCCATTAAACCTACAAATCCTCCGATATCGCTATTAATCACCTCAAATCCCTCGATATCTATGTACATTGATCCCTTTATATATCATTAATCTTCCAAATACCCTCTTAATCACTTCTAATCCATCTATATCCCTCCATGGAGACTCAACTGATGGGACACAACAATTAATCAACAATTAAAAATTTTATGGGGGAGGGGGCTTATTTTAGGAGGGGGGCTTATTTTAGAGAGGGGGGCTTATTTTTTTCGATCGACCTCTAGAGGGGGCTTATTTTAGTGGGGGGGCTTATTTTAGAGGGGGGGCTTATTTTGGAGGGGGGGCCTATTTTAGAGGATTTACGGTATTTTAAAATAAAATATTTATAAAACCATGGGATAAACTTTAGCCGGTGGCCGGTTTTTTTTTTCTATGGTTTTCAATTTTCGGGGATCTATATTTCTGTCTACAGGAATATACGCACCTAGAGAGTAGTATCGTTCGACTCAGCTCAGCTAGTCGAATCGAATGGGGTACATATCGAGAGGCTTTTGAACCGGCCACTGGCTAAAGTATGGCTAAACCATGAATTCTTTTATGTCCATTCAACAAACATGGTCTACCAAATGATTTACCACAAACCTAAAAATAAACATTTAAATATTTTATTTAAAATTTTTTTTATTTCTCCCAATTTAAATTTAAATAAAACAAACATTACACTGTACTTTTTGTATGTTATTGTTGTCGTTGTTGTTAATTAATATATTGTTTATTTTTCTTCTTTTTGGTGTTTCTTTTAATTCTTTATTTTCATTTTTTCTTTTACAAGATGATTTATTTAATAATTTCTTTTTTAAAATTAAAAATAAATTAATTTAATTTAAATTCTAATTTTTACCTTTTCATTAGTTACCTTTTCCACAATTTTTGATATTTTTGTTGTTGTAGGATAAATATTATTTGGATATTTAAATGAAGTTAAATTATTTGAAGAGTTATTTGTTCTCCAACTATCTTCACTATTACTAGTTCCAGGTGTTGAATTAAATGACTTAAATTTAAAAAAATTAACTAATATTCCTCTCAACTAAGAAAATTAGTTAAATATTTTGTGATTAATTTAAAAAAAAATATTTTAATTAAAATTTACCGGTGGTGTATTTTGTTGAAATATTGAAGTTATTTGTTGTTTTTGTAATTGATTAAGAATAAATTGTTTTTGAAATAAGGATGTAAAAAATGCTGTTAAAAATGGATTTGTATTAGAAGAAGATGGAGGAGAAGAAAAAAATGTTGAAAAATTTGGAGTTAAATTATTTTGAATAAAAAAAGGTGGAGACGGAAATTGAAATGAATGTAAATATTGTTGTTGTGAATTTAGTAGAAAGGATTGTTGTTGTGTAGATGATGATGGAGTAATTAATGTTGTTGGTGTTGTTAATATATTATTTGGAGAAAAATTTTGAGTATATGGCCAAACTGTAAATATAAGTAAGGGTCAATATTTCTTTAATTTTTTATAGTCCATTCAATTCTCAATTAAATAACAAAATCTAAAATTTTTCAGTCTTGTTTTTTTGAAATTGCACTTCAAAAATTTTCATTTATCAACTGAATTCAATTAAGCCTTCTTGCGAAACGGACCAATTTTTGTGGGAGGAGAAAGGGTGTTTCTCATTTTGGAAAATAAAATTTTTCCATTCATTCAAAAGATTAAGAACAGTCCTTAGTGTAAAAATTTTTTGTTCATTTTTAGTACGGTCCATTTTTACGAAATAGTCAAAAACCTAGAAAAAAGTTGCCAACTTTGTCAAAATTTTTTCCTAATGCCTTAGCCTCTGCCTCAACGCCATTAACAAAATTGCAAAAACATAAATCTTTATTCTCTATTTACATTATCTTTGCTTTATCTTATTTTATTTTAAAATACTCAGCGGCGGGGACTTTTGCAAGAATTACTGTATAAAATTAAATAAATATTTTTGGGATTACCAAAAAGTTTTTCAAAACAAAACAGAATTTTAAAAATATTTTATGGGAGGACCTAACGGTTTTTAAATAAACGCTTTTGTTAAAAATATTTCTAATTTATTTACAATTATTTTGTGGTTGTTGTTGTTGTGGAAGAATATTTTCACTTTGAGAATCACGTAAAAGACGATCCATACGAAAATTAGTATATTTCTTTGAATTAGTAGTCATTATTAGTTTATCATAACATTAAAAAATTAAATAGAAAATCTTTAAATAAAAAATAATTTTGAATTAAAAAATGGAGAGGTAATTTAGTTAGAAAAAAATCAAAAGTTGATATGATGCCAAAAAAACTCCGCCCTTTTTCCTAAACCTTTACAAAATAATTTCTTTCTTTCTGAATGAATTGGCGCGTGTAAATTAATATGTAATACTTATTTACATAAAAAGGAAAAAGCTTAAAATGCCGCTCTATGCCTATATAATTTTTCCCAGAAAAGGTAAGAAGAGTATTAAAATTGGGGAAAGGGTATCAAAATTCACAGAATTAACATTCTTACTTACATTTATACAAACATTTATTTTATACATAGACAAAGGAATTTAAATACGATTAGTTTTTACTAAATATTAATTTTACTTCAAAGGTCTATAATTGATTGATATTCTTTTAATATTTCATAAGCTACAAACAAAAATTATATTTTTTGTTTATTAATTAAATTAAAATATCTACATACCAGGGTTGCCGCCCGAAACCCGAAACCCGGCCTTTTTTTGTACCCGAAACCCGATACCCGAAAAGAAAATTTTCCAACCCGAAACCCGTACCCGATATTTTTTCCAACCCGAAACCCGTGACCCGAAATTGGTTAAAACCCGAAATTTATACCCGAAAACTTAGCCTTACCCGATTTTTTAGAAAAAATTATAGAAAGATTAGAAAAAATTATAGAAGACTGGCTCGATATTTTCATAGGTGTGGGTTCGAGTCCTGGACTGGAAATTAGGCTTAAAATATTTTTCTTTTCAAAAATGTTTTTAAACTTTGATTTTCATTTAAGATTTTTAAATTTATTTTTTTTAATATTTTAAGCTTGAATAAGCATTAAAAATTTTAATTTATGTAGTTTTGAAATACCTCTCAAAATGTTCCCCACCGGCAGTGAAAAAACTAGAAATCTGGCTTAAGGGTCATCAAAATTCCCAAAATTTTCGCCTGCGGCGCTGAAAATGGGAGAAAATTGGAGGCTTTAATGGAGATAAAGCGGAGGTATATTAGTATATAGTGGGATTTTATCAAGGTGGGATTTTACCAAGATATCCCTCTTAATCCCCAAATCCCACAATGCCTCTTTAATCTCTTCAAATTTGCCTATCTCTATATCACCCAAAATCCTATTATGCAACATAGCTTGGCTCCTTACACTTTATTTCACTAATACCACCCGAACACCCGAAAATAACCCGAATTTTTCGCCAAACCCGAAACCCGTACCCGAAAATTTTGCCAACCCGAAACCCGAAATGAAAATTTTATAACCCGAAACACGAAACCCGTACCCGAGATTTTTGCCAACCCGAAACCCGATACCCGAAATGAAAACGCTCCAACCCGAAACCCGTACCCGAAGATTTTTTGTACCCGCGGCAACCCTGCTACATACTTTTTTATCTCAAATATTAACTATACTAAATCGGTTATGTCACACTTTTTTTACAGTATTTACAAAGAAAAGGAGAATTTGTTTTGACACGAAAATTTTTCTTTTTAAAAAATAAGAGAGAAAAAGTTGTTTTTCTCTAATTTTGCATGAAAAAGTTAAGTGTAAACAAAAACATCCAGCCATCTGCCATTTAGACGCGGCAGTTACCAGCCGTCTGCCTTTTATTCGCAAGCAGTAATTTTAAAAATAAAACACAGCCTTTTAGCCGCAAACACTATTAGAGCCAAATAGGGATATTGAGGATTTTAGAATTAAAAAAAAATAAAGATTATTAAAGGGTGTTTGGTGATTAATTGAATACTAAGTATTTGAAGAGATGAAGGTGAATAAGGATAATAAAGTTAACGGTAGATTTGTAGGGGATTAAGTGTATATCGGGGGTTTACTGTGATTCGGGAGAGTTAATGCAGAATGATGTATGGGGGTTTGAGGATTGTAAAGAATATCGGGGATTTGCGTATTTAGAGTGTAAAAGATGGTGATAAAGGGGATATCGTGGATTGTGGGAAATTAATGGAATATTTTGACTTGCGCAAATGTATGGCGGATTTTGAGGATTAATAGGGATATCAGAGATATCAGAGAAAAAGAGAGAAATAAAGAAGAGTTAATAGATATATGGACTATTTTGGGAACTTACGAATGAGAGTGTTAAAGAGAATATCGGTACTTAGAATTGATATCGGGGGATTTATATTAAAAACATAAGTTCTGTGAAGATATGGAGGATTTGAGATATAAAGTGGGATATATAGGGGATCTTTTAGTTACAAGCATGATAAATTCAGATTTAATGAAGGGATTTTGAGGATTTCGAACATTAAGACGGATATTAGGGACTATACGTAATTTTGAGTATTTGGGGTAATTTAGGAAATACAAGAACAGCTATTAGTGATAGTAAGTGACTCTGATGAGTGTTTGGGGAATATCAATAGTTTTGTGGGCTTAATATTGATATTGAGGGATGTGGTTAAGATATGATTTTGGGGTTTTTGGGAAAAGAGTAGTATCAAGGGCTAATAGAGATATCGGGGTTTAGGGTAATTAAAAAGGCTTTCGAGGATTAGAGTGATACGCAACACAAAAAAAGAAAAAAAAGTGAAAGCCTAGAAACCTAATCATCGGAGACTAAGGGATTAAGAGACAAATAAGGGGAGTTATTGCTTTGCTTTTTGGCTCAGGGATATTATGAGTTTCAGGCTAAAGGGTGTTATCAAATGTTTTGACGGGAGAAAGGGGTATTTTCTATGAAAATAAAGTTTGGAAAGTGAAATTTGTGTAATTAGGAGTATCGGAGAAGTAATTAACAGGCATATTTTGTGATTGAGGGATTTTTGAAAATAAAGGGTGATAGCTGTGATGTGTGATTAAGAGATAATTCTTAAGATTAGAGTCTAATGGGTCATTCTGGGATTTTGGGGTGTTTATGAGGCATATTATTTTTTGATTAATTGGTGGTGATTAAGAGAATGGTATTAAAGAGGGATATCGGAGGTTTTGGGGTTAAAACGGGTTATCTATGATTTGGGTGCGATTAAGAGCGTTTTCATATGAGTTTGAGGCTAAAGGGTGATTCAGGGATTTTGGTGGTGATTAAGAGGATATCAAATGATTTGGGAATAAAGATATATTAGGGATTTGGGCTTGAGCAAAAGACTCTTCCCATCAATTGTGAGCCGAGCCCTGTAGCAAGTAAGATGTCGGGGATTTGAGTCCGCCAAAGTGTGAGGTTGATCTAAAAAGAATTAAAAGGTGTTGTACGAGCGTTAGGACGCGCGAAGCGCGTCCTAACGCTCGTTTTTTAAATAAAATTTAATTATTTAAATGTCTCTTCGAAACTTGTCTTTACTTCCTAAAGATGTCCATATTCATTTTAATATGGATATAGAAATTAGAATATTTCTCAGTATCCATTAACAAACATATAAAACTAACAACTTTTTATTTAAATGTTTTTTTCTTCTGTTGAAAATTTTGGCTGTAGTATAGTATACCGGTGGAAAGGTTTCAATATAAGACCCATACCATTCGATTCGTCTCGGCGAGCTGAGTCGAACGGTACCACTCTTTTTTTCCGGAGATGCCTGTGGACCGAGATATAGGCCCCCGAAAATCGAAAAACCATAGGGGGGACCAAGCACTTTTTTGGGGTGAAAAATTCGAAATTGCAAATTATACCTCATTCGAAAGAGCTCCTCGAGCTGAGTCGAATGACACCAAAATCAACGAAATTCGACTTGATTGAACCGAGATATAGACCCATAAATATCGAAGATCCAAAGGGGCGATTATTGGAATAAAAACTTTTTTAAACAAATAATAGCTCATTCAAAAGAGCTCGATGAGCTGAGTCGAATGACATCAAAATTATCGCGATCTAACAAGTTTGCACAAAGTTATGATCATTTCTTTGAGCTCCTTACGTATGGCATCCGTGGAGTTTTTGCTGCTGTGGAAGAAGCTGGGAATTTCCACCCCATTGATGATAGGAATAGGACCATGTTACGAGCCCAGACCCAGAGCCCGTAGACTCCCCGCGAGGCGCGTGCCGCAAAACGCCGCGCGAAGCGCGGCGTTTTGCACAAGCGCCTCGCCTACGTTCCATAGGTTTACGTTGACCATTTTGAACCTGTTTATCTTGGCTCTAAATCAAGATTTCGAGCTAATTTTGGTGTCATTCGACTCGGCTCGAAGAGCTCTTTCGAATGAGCTATCATTCAAAAAATCGAATTTTTCATCCCAAAAAAGTGCTTGGTCCCCCCTATGGTTTTTCGATTTTCGAGGACCTATATCTCGGTCCACAGGCATCTCCGGAAAAAAAGAGTGGTACCGTTCGACTCAGCTCGCCGAGACGAATCGAATGGTATGGGTCTTATATCGAAACCTTTCCACCGGTATACTATACTATATCCAAAATTTTTTTAATGTTGTTGTGGTAGTGGTTTTCTTTTTTTTCTTTCCAGGAAAGTTTTTAGAAAATAAAAATATTAAATAATATAAATATTTTTTTACAATTTTTAATCCAAAAAATATACACTAAAAACAAACATAATAATCCACGAGCGTTCAGGTGCCGCTTCGCGGCACCTGAACGCTCGTATATAACCTTTTCAGAGCTGAATAGAAATTGATAAGTATATTTTCCAAAAAAATTAAAAAAATATTCAGGATTCTTGGCTTCTTTTATTTTTGATGTTTTTAACTTTTAAAAACAAATTTAAAAATTAACTTTCTTACTCTGGGCTGTGTTTTTT